GGAGCTGATCTACTGTGTTCCAGGAGGTACATCATGGGCAGCCACAGCAGTGTCATTCCCAACCTGGAAACTGAACATACAGAATATAAAAGAATAGGAGCTGGGGCGCCTGGGTGACTTAGTCGGTTAAGCGTCCAACTTTCGCTTAGGTCATGATCTCACGGTTCGTGGGTTCGAGCCCCGCGTCGGGCTCTGCGCTGACTGCCAGCTCAGAGCCTGGAGCCTGTTTCAGTCTGTGACTCCCTCTCTCTCTGACCCTCCCCTGCTCATGCTGTCTCTCTCTCTCTCTCCTAGAAATAAATAAAACATTAAAAAAAAAAAAAAAAGAACAGGAGCTGACTAAAGGGGCATGGGAGTTCCTGATTTCTGCCATGTTAGTAAATGAGTAAATTAGCAGGGCTGTTGGCTCCCTCCCTCTGTATCAGTCTTTGAGAAATGATGGATGGATTAGATCCCTCATCACCACTCCCAGGCAAAATCACCAAATGGATACACACATATACTTGAGAAATCTGGTCTATTTTGAACTGGTGATGGGAGAAGCAGGAGTGACCACAGCCTGGGGTGGAGAAAGAGGAGAAATCAGACAAAAATGGAGAAAACCTCCCATCTGTGAAGATCCAGCATGGTGCACACTCCTGGTGCAGGGGTTCTGGGGCAAACCCCAGTGTGGTAAAACCACTAACTCACCTCAGTTAATATGAGCACTGACGTGCCTCAGACATTTCACTTCTTCATTTTTCTCTCCACTGTGAAGATAACCCTAAGGCTTATTTAATACCTATATAGCATTTACTGGCTCCCTCTCTTCACTCCTTTGTCAAACCTATTATAAGAAATGCAGATTTACAGATTTTACTTACTTAATAGCAAGGATAATACTTCACAACTGAACAAACCATTTTAGAATAGTGGCATAGCCTCTTTAACTTCTATTAAGATATAGTATTCTGGGGGCTGGGGTGGCAAACTGTGCTAAGGCATGTGACATTTCCTCTATTCTTTGTCATTATCTCACTTACATTAAATTTTCATGACCTCAGCCAAATACATCAAAACCCTCACTGTCTATACTTTCATGAACAACTACATGTGTGAATGCATGTGAAAATCTCTTCCAAGTTAATTGCAGTCCTCTTGAAATGTGACTAGGAGACCTGATGGGGTGGGGAAGAGGAAGCCAGGAGGTATTCAGATACTGTGATTTGAGTGTTTCTAAATGTGATAATGTCAGAAAATTGTTGAGTCAGTTTCTGTTGAAACTGAAAAAATTAACTATTAGCGGCATTGAATCTAAGATATATTAATGTCTATAGGCAGAAAAAAACATTTCCATACATATAAAATGGGAAAGATAGTGGTCATCTACTGGAACATCAGAGCACATAATTGGACTATCCCCCAAAATTTCCAGTTTAAACATTAAAGAATGAACTTCTGGGTGAATACTAACAAAACTGTTTTAAATAAACCCTTCTTTTCAGCACACCAACCACAGAGGTTGTAGATGAAAGACAGTTTATATTATTATTATTATGCTTATATTATTATTAGTAATAATACCAACTAATTAAGCTATATTTTATGAACATACCAAAAAGTAAACAGTGTAATATATATAGTTAAAATTTTTTTTAATGTTTATTTGAGAGAGAGACAGAGTGCAAGCAGGGGAGGGGCAAAGAGGGAGACACAGAATTCGAAGCAAGTGTCAGGCTCCGATCTGTCAGCACAGAGCCTGAAATGGGGCTCGAACTCACGAACTGTGAGATCATGACCTGAGCTGAAGTTGGACGCTTAACCGACTGAGCCACCAAGGTGCCCCTTCTTATACATAGTTTTAGCTACTTACATAAAATATTTATAACTTAAAGAATATAAATATTATTATTAAAATTCTCAGCAATTAGGTCACACAAGCTATGTTTGATCAATTTCATAAAGGGCTTGGTTCCACACCACAGACAGAATGGCTCCAAGTGCACAAGGTGAAGGTATGTCTGGGATATCTTCTCTTGAACTACTTTCAGGTTATGAAGAATCCCACTCCATGACTACAGCCATAATATACCTGATGCTCCTGCACAGAGTGTGGTACTTGAATGTGCCAGTTTTGTCATGCAATGAGACTTGTGGCCCACAGCATAAAACAAAAGGGACTAGAATAATCTGCAGCCAGAAGAGCCTGCCCCAAATTGTTTTAGACTGCTCTCTTTCCTTAGTAACTATCTGAGGAGGGCTACTTCCTATAGCTTTACATAAGACCTGTCCCCATTCTTTAAGTAGGACAATTCTACTACAGTTAAAGAAGAAACTGAGTTATTTCATAATAAACACTTCATCTTCCCCAAATAGAGTGCACGGCTTGTGTCCTTCATCCAGGTTTTAAAAAATTGATAAGTAAAGACAAGATGCAGATTAGTTTCCATTTTTATTAAAGTTGTGTTTTTGTTTTTTTGTTTTGTTTTTTAGTAAGGAATACATTACACTTAAAGTTCAATAACACAAATAAAGATTAGTTCTTAAATCTTCTATTTCATTTATCAAAAATGTAAACACAAATGAAAATAATTTACTACTTCTTCCCCAATCTTGACTGAACATAAAAAAAATAATTAAAAAAAGGAGTCATCTTTTCAGGTTAAGTTCTTTCTTCAGAATGAGTAGCATAGACTTTATTAAACTATATTCATCTTCCTGGGCTGAAGGACATGGCATGGATGACTAAGTGCCCACTATGGGTCTGTGGGTCTGTGACTAAAGTCCATCTCCTCTACTAGGATGCTCAAATGCCCAGAGATGGCTCTTCTCTCTCCATTCGGTGTTGAAGGGCATGGACAGCGCTAAGGCATTGAGCACAAGACACTGTGATGAACATGATGTGCAAACTGGCATACTCCAGGAGGCAGTTCAGAGCCAGCAGTGACCTCTTGAGTCCGGATGAGTGTTAGTCATAGACTGTTAAGAGCTAGAAAGATTCTGAGAAAGCAGCTAATCATTTTACAGTTGGTCTCAATCAGTAAGCCTTCTAATATTGAGGAGAATATTGATAAAATTTTAGGAATACTCAGACACACTCATTTATATATCTTCCTAAAGCCATATAAACTTCATTAATTTGTGTTTCAACTTCAAATATGGGTAAACTCTTAAGCCAACAAACTAGGCTGAAACTAATTTCAAGCATAATTCATAAAATTTTAAGAATGCTATTTGGTTTTAACAAAAATAAATATCCTTAAGAAATAAGTAAGGGAAAAGGATGCTCTTCAGGAGAATACTAGAGAGGTCTATATTAAGACAACCTTAACTGCTTGCCAGTTTCTTTTAAGCTGTCAACTCAAGTCTGCCGACATGGCTTTTGCTGCCTTCCTGCAAAGTCTGTTCTTAAAAACCTGAGAGACAAATTCACTTGATATTTTTGACAATTGGGATCTTAAAACTATCAAAATGAACCTAAATCTGAACCGAAAACTGAGGTAGTCTAGTCAGTTTTTATATGCACTCCATACTTTTTGAGTCAGAAAGGACTCCAGTCTACTATGCCCCAGTCTCTTTCCATGCCCTACCTGGCTTCCACAGTGGCTAGTCTGCTAGTCTCCTCCTCAGTGAACTGCTTTTAATGTAAAGGGCATCCTGTGAAAGGATACCAACATTTAAGCCATTTCAAAGTCTTCAGTTCAAAGTAGAAGTCTAGCCCACTAATTCTGCACTGAAATCTCAGATTTTAAGTGTTTTTTAGAATACTGTCATATTCTAAGTGACCCAAATATGCCTCTTTACCTTTACAGGTACAGTGGCCTTCTAAATCTTCATGGAGTACACTATAAAGAATCAGTAATAAGCAACTACTCTCGAGACTTGTTGAAGAGGAAGCAAGACACCAGAGCAGTTAGTTACCCTCAGAGACTCAAGATTTCTTAGCCTCATACTTTGTCAATTTCCTTATTTGTGCAGAGAAAACACTAGGGGATCAGATTCCAAGCTTAATAAATATATATAGAAAAAATGTCACCTATAATATTTTCTCCAGAAAGTTATTAGTGCAAATATAATTATATCAATAAAAAATAAAGCAAAAATATATTTCAAGTATAAAAAGCACCATGCTTGGAAACAATACTACCTAAATGGCATTGCTGCACAACAGTCAAAATATAATCAAACCTATCACTGTGAATTCTCAAATATACTAGTCATCGTATTTTTGGTGAAATTCTTTATACAACTTTGCAGGATGATTTATAATCACATATAAGACTTATATAATTTAGGGTTTTATAATTTTCTTTAAAAATATACTCTACACTTTTTTTTCTGACCTTTAAAGTATGTGTGACAAAGGCAGAAAACTGAGCACTGGCCTGACACCAATACTATTAGCTTCTTTTTAGCTGAAGTTAGCTGTGCTAGAGATCCCCAGCATTTTACAATGACAAATACTTCCAATTTAGAACTGCATGCAAATACATATTTAAAATTAATGCATTAAAAAAAAGTGACTTTCCTCTATGCTGGGGTTGCACTTTGGCTCCAATACCAAATAGTCAGTTGGAATTATTTTTTAGTAATTATACTGCTTGCTCACTTAGCACAATTTCTTAAATGGAGTGCTCAATAACTATATGCTGAATTAAGGATGAATGAATGATTAAATGAATGAATGAATCTTGTCCAGGAATTATGTTTATAATGTCGCAGGACTTCATTAGCTTTGGAGACAAACTGGCCATAGTCTCATCATTAAAATACTTCAAACTGGAATTACTAAGAGGGGTTGGTAAGCTCTAGTAACAGAGCAGAATCACTTCTGAGGATGAGAATCTAAAGCAGGAGGTAAAGAACATCACCTCATTTTAAAAGCACAATTTTCTGACTTCTGTGAACTGAGACTTATGTTGTGGGTAAAGTGAGCCCTACTGAATAGGTCCTACACCAAATTTACACTTTGCTGTTAGAAAACAATTCAAACCATCTTGCTTTGACTTAATTTTTCTTCTTATATATAATTTTCAGATAGTAAGAATTCTTCTGTAACAATTTCTAAGCCCACTTGAAAAGAATAATTCTATTTGTGTTAGATTACAGTTGTCATAACTATTATCTGAAAAACATACAGTTATGTTTTCTTCTGTTTGCATGTCTTCAAAGTTTTTACAGGACACAGTATTTTTCTCTCTCTGCTCCCACAGTTTTTCAGGTCATTATTAAATTACTGGAGTATACACTGGAAGGGCATCAAAATGTAATGGTTCAGTAGTAGTGCCACACAGCTGGTTTAAAAAGGCAAGCAAGGTTAAATCATGAGATTTAGCAAATTATAATTAAAAAAAACTTTTGAGAACAATGAGAACAATGATTTAAGTGTACCATGCACAGCTATTAAATTCAAAATACATATAATAGTGACGTAGAAATCCTATTCAATTATTATCTGTAAGTCAAAGGACAATTTATACTTGTGAGGACAGGATCCACAATTCATAATTTTGTAATAATTAGCTTTTTAAAAAAATTACTGCAGTATTGATGAACTTTCCCATCATTTTAGGTTAATAAAAATGCTGAGGTATGTAATCATTCTGAGTATTTCACCAATTATCCCATTTTCAAAGGAAAACTTCAGGCAGGGTAATATATGCAGAAAAATAAAGAGACATGGTGACTTGGAATTCCTTCTCCTCCTCCAAACTCTGAGGCTGTTGTGTTGCTGATAAAGAGTGACTGCTGTGAAGCTCTGCTTCAAGGTCTGATTGTAGTCAATGCTTCCAAGCCAAAGTCAGGGATGCCACTTCTACCATCTGCATAGGCTGGCACTCACCCAGATTTTGTGCTTTGTTCAAAAGAACATGACACAAAGGAAGGTCTTGAGAATTCACTTTTCCATTCCTAGTGCCAGACACATAGAAGAAATCCTGCCAGCAGAGGAAATAGATTGCCCAGCAGAAGCCAGAGAGTGACCACCAGGCTAGAGGAACGGGAACAGAGATCTAGGGTTGAAAACAAGAAATTGACTTTCTGGAGACATTTTTGGAATAAATCATACCAAGTAAAAATTGACAGATAAATACAGGTGATTATTATGGAAAAATAACAAAAATTTTATGCAGGAAAAAATGATGTTGATGCCATATCAAGGTTTTTTTGTTGTTGTTGTTAATTTCTTTAAGTGTTTATTTATTTGAGAGCGGGAGAGACAGAATCTGTAGCAGGCTCCAGGTTCTGAGCTGTCAGCAGAGCCCAACGTGTAGTTCGAACTAACGAATCATCAGATCATGACCTGAGCCGAGGTCAGAAGTTTAACTGACTGAGCCACCCAGGCACCCCCACCATATCAAGGTTAAAAGAAGCACTCCAAAAAAGAAATAAGTGTCTTCAGAAAGTATCCCAATAAAGTTAAAGATGCTACACAGAAAGTAAATTAATATTTTGGCTATTCTGACATGGGATGTAGGACTTTCTTCCTCTTTCCTTCCTTGTCCTAAGTATAGTGACCCTAAAATTTATCTCCCCAAATCAGGACATTTTGAGACAAGTGTTGAAATAAACATCTAGTCCCAAGATGGAGCCACTCCTATGCAGGGTGCCATGTCAGCAAACTGAAACTTAGATAACTTTTGAGTTCCTCTGCTTGACTAGAAACACAGTATATGTACTAAGCTAACCTCCAACTGCCAAACCAACTCTGAGACCTTCACTTATTTCCTTTTTCCTTGATCTTTCTAAATATGGTCAGATATGCAACCCCAGCCAATCAACTTAAACCAAGTAATTCTTCCTTGTTTCCTGGTTGCCATCCTTTTCCCTTATTTTGCAGTTCTCTGTACTCTGGAGAGTGGAGACTGCCTGCTTTATGAAGTGTGAAATAAAATTTGCTTAGACCAACTAAATTGTTCTGATTAACACGAGGGAATGCTATTAATAATTATACCAGAACCACTGACACATGGACTATCCCAAGGTAAACCAGGACATATGGTCCCTACCCATCTATCCATATTACCCCAGACTGATATGGAAATGGCAGAAGATTTTATGGGCTTTGGGCACTAGGAATTTTAATTTAATTTAAATTTAGCTATGAGTCATTCTCAGAGCCAAAATGACTTCCCAAGACAATTCTCAGAATGGAAAAACACTTTTGGGGGCTCCTGGGTGGCTCAGTCAGTTGAGCGTTTTGACTCTTGGTTTCAGGTCAGGTCATAATGCCCCAGCTTCATGGGTTTGAGCCCTGCACTGAGTTCTGCACTGGCAGTGTGGGACCTGCTTGGAATTCTCTCTCTCACCCTCTCTGTCCCTCCCTCACTTGTGCTGTCTCTGTCTCTCTCAAAATAAATGAACTTAAAAAAAAAAGTCTCATATATATACACATATATATATGAATGAAAAACATTTTTATTGTATCCAGGAGACAAGGTCAACCTGACTTTTATAAATAAGCTGTCCTTTCTAATATTTTGATCAATAAAAAGCTAACCAAGCTCCAAGTCTGATTTGCTTAAAAGATAAGAAAAATAAGACTTGTTTTCAGCTACACAATGAATAGAATGATAATGTCAAGGCATTGAAGCTTGCTCTTCTGAGCACTATGCAATGTGGAACAAGTATTTAAAAAAATTATTTCACTGTCTGTAAGCCAGGTAAACAATGGAGAACTTCTTCCTCAATGGAATCATGCTGGTATTTGTAAAATCTTAAAAAAAAAAATCCCACCTAGCTAAGAACAGTTCTTCTCAAAGTGTGTCAACACTATCAGCATCACCTGGGAACTTGATAAAAATGAAAATTCTTGGGGTGCCTGGGTGGCTCAGTTGGTTGAGCGTCTGACTTCGGCTCAGGTTCATGAGTTCAAGTCCCAAGTCAGCCCTGGGATGAATGCTTGCTCAGAGCCTGGAGCCTACTTTGGGTTATACATCTCCTTCTCTCTCTGCCTCTTCCACTCTTCATGCTCTCTCTCTCTTTCTCTCACAAAGAAATTAACATTAAAAAAAAACTTTTAAAAATGCAAATTCTCAAGGGCACCTGCGTGGCTCAGTTGGTTGGCCATCTGACCTTGGCTCAGGTCATGATCTTCTGGTTAGTGAGTTCAAGCTTCACATCAGGCTCTGTGCTGACAGTTCAGAGCCTGTAGCCTGCTTCGGATTCTGTGTCTCCCTCTCTCTCTTCCCCTCCTTACTCATGCTCTATCTCAGAAACAAATAAAAACATTAAAACAAATTCTTAATGCAAATTCTCAGGCTTCACCACAGATCTTCTGAATCCAAAATTCCAGGGGTTAAGGCCTAGCAATTTTAATGATTCTGATGCATGCTAAAGTTGAGAACTTCTGACCTAGTACTGCACTATTCAATATGGCAGCCATAGCTATATGTGCTGATAGTTAAATCCAAAATAAAATAGTTCCACACTAACATTAACCACATCTTACATGTTCAACAGTCATATGTGGCTAATGAGTATTGTACTGGACAAGGCAGACTATGGAACATTTCCTTCAACCTAGAATAAATTGGACTATTGTAACCTAGAGCATCAGGTAAAGTGGCCTTGGCTGTATTAACAAATGGACCCTGGAGTCACTAACACAGGCATATCCCTTTATTTCCTGATTTTCAATTTAGCCCAAAGGAAATAGGAGAAGTAGGTATTGTTTATCTACTGTTGGTACTAAAATTTAACAAGGTATTCAAACATTAACAGGGGTTCTGGAGCACTGGTTCTTCAAAAACACTGCACTTTCATGCTAGTACTAATTAAGATGAAAAGATTCAAAAAGAGAGTTTCAAAATGAATTAGAGACAATAAGATGTGTTTTTTTTTTTTTCTGAACCTCATTATTTATTAGTTATGACCATGGATAATACATTACTTGATCTCTTTATACTTTCGTTTTCTCTTGTTTAACACAATAATTCCTACCTCATTAGGCTTTGTGATGGCTAAGTGCAATGATGTAGAAATAAAGAGCTTGGCAAAGTGTCTAACATTCAATTAATGGAAACAAAAACAACTACAATCTGAAGAGACTAGAACGAATTCAGAAATAAATCTTTCATATTCATTAATGGAAACTATCTTAGGCAATATAGAACAATCATTTAATCATACTCTAGCATTTAGAAAGTGATGACTAGACAAAAGGAGAGAGAAAAGGTCAGAGTTTTACATTCTAAAAGAAATTACAAATGTAAGAAAAGGCTATGGGAACTAACACCTAAGAACAACACAACAATCAGAAGGATTTAGGGAGAAGAATATCTTTTACACTTCCTCCAGAATATTGGGAGTTTGGATGTTTTAAAGACATGCTTAAAGACCTAAAAATACTTTCATAAGACAGAAAGATTAGGAATGGTCATTTTTATACTTGTTTACTAAGCTTCATCATAGGTAATTATTAATAGTAGTATTTCTCATACAAGTTCATTTAAAGCATCAAAATATTTTCAAAAGTTTGGTGGATCATAAAAAATTATTTTTAAAAATTTTTAACATTTATTCTTTTCTGAGATAGAGGGAGAGAGGGAGGGAAGAGGAGGAGGAGAGGGAGGGAGAGAGACAGAACATGTGGGAGAGGGGCAGCGAGAGGGAGGTCGAAGATCTGAAGTGGCTTGGAATTGTGAGCACAGAGCCCAATGTGGGGCTCAAACCCACAAATCATGAGATCAGGACCTAAGCTGAAATCAAGAGTTGGCTGCTTAACTGACTGAGCCACCAGCCCCCCTCCCGCCTCCGCCCCCAGGGTCATAAAAAAGTATTAAACAGAAACAAACTATTTATCTGAAAGAAACATTTTGTGTAAAGTTTGCCATAGTTTCTGGCACATAATTTAATATTCAGTAAAGGCTCAGTGTGCTCAGTGAACACATCAGCAAATATGGTAATTCAAGATATTTTAGAATTTCAACAGTGATGTATATGTTTAAAAACCAATGCCTAATATGTATCCTTGTAATATGTATACATTTTTCAAAACTGTAGTAGTGATTTGGTGGTTGTGAAGCTTTTATGAGCATGCTTCATCATAGAAATGGGCAAGTTAGCAGGGAAATCAACCACATCATAGCAGCACCATATCAAAGGATAGCTGGTAAAGAGGGAGCAGGGTAAGTAGTCTCAGGTGCAGACTGTGCAGACAGAGGGGGCTGGTGGTTTCCAATCTCTACTCCCCACATCACCTCCCTTCAATAGATTCACTTGTCTTTGTTATGCCCCAAGAACAAGAAATGATTATTTCATAGCCTCTTGACCTGGTTTGGATTTCCTCTTAATCCTAGACATTCTTCTACTGTACTCTCAAGATTCTTACCCCTGCGCCAGCACAAATAAATCTCTATTGTAACTCTAACTGCTACTAGCTCAATCCTTGCTCATCTCTTGGATGATGAGATGGAGACAGACTGTTACAGTTAATGGACATTAGGCTTAAGGATGGGAGCTCCATCAGAATCACATACTTGTGGACTATCAGCCCTTCCATCCTAGCCATAGCAATTTAACAGTAACAACAAAATTAAGTCATCCTACCAGCTTCATATTAAAAGTAAAAGTTACCTAAGAGTATTTAGCACTACGTGTACTATTTACCACATCAAAAAGACCCACAGTCTTCTATCATTTCAAACAATTCACTATGTCAGTACTTAATATAACTGTACTGCAGGAAACAGCTGACTCCCTGAATTTCTGTTCAGAAAAGAGAGAACATGGCAGGCTTGAGAGATTGCCATCCTTCAGAAGTCCAGCTTGTAAGGATGGTGTTTAGCTGGTATCTGTCTGGGAACTGGTTTCCTCCAGACATCACCCCATTGCCCCCTTTCCCTTTGCTGATTCTGCTTTGTTTAACAAACCTTAGCCATAAGTACAACTAAAGTCTGAGTCCTGTGAGTGCTAGAGAATCACCAAACCTGGAGGAGGTCTCAGGCACTACCAGCACAAGTAGCAATCTCCTTAAACTCACTCTCTACCTAACAGCTCATTTCTGCAGAAAGTCCCCAGGATTGGGGAAAGAAACTAAATCTTAGAGATGGAGAAACTTTGAAGTGTAAATGAATGTAGCCCTCCATTTTTAATCAGACCAAGGAACAGGCAAAGGGCTACACAGTTCCAGTTAAGTGTCTTAACTGACTTCAGCTCAGGTCATGATCTCATGGTTTGTGAGTTCGAGTCCTGAGTTGGGCTCTGCGTTGACATGACAACTCAGAGCCTGGAGCCTGCTTCAGATTCTGTATCTCTCTCTCCTTCTCAGGTTCTCTCTCTCTCTCTCTCTCTCTCTCAAAACTGACATAAATAAAATAAAATAAAATAAAATAAAATAAAATAAAATAAAATAATATAAAAAATAGATCCAGGGGCACCTGGGTGGCTCAGTCAGTCAAGTGTCCAGTTCTTGATTCTGGTTCAGGTTTCACAGTCTCGGGATCAAGCCCTCTACGTGGCTCCCCAGTGAGAGTGAAGCCTGCTGGGATTCTCTCTCTTCAGCCCTCTCTCTGTCCTTCTCCCACTCATGTTCTCTTGCCCCCTCAAAATAAATAAAATTTAAAAAACATAAAAAAAACCTCCAACTGAGAAAATGAAACAATGCATAAGATCTTTATTATTCATATTCTAAAGTGTCAAACTGACATAAATCACATAGATCATTTAATTAAAATCTCAAAGACCGTAGGTCAAAGCCTTGATAACTCATGAATTTTGCTTTTATAACTCTTAGTAATAGCTCATCAGCTTTAGTTTACATATCTTCAACAACAGGAAATGCCTTTTTCTCAAGTCAGCTCTTTCCATTCCTTTCCTGAATCTAAAGGATTTAACTGGAATTTGTCTCCCTACAACTTTATTCTGTTGGTCTCAATTCTACTCTCTGAAGTCTAACAAAGTGAACAAAATACACCTCAATGAAAACCACTTTGTCTCTACTAGCTGGTCTTTCTATCTTACTTTGTGTGTGTATTTGTGTCTCCTTGCACCTATCTCTTCTTTGTGGGTAAGTCAATCTCTTCTTTAAGCATCTTTTCCAGTGTCTTTCCCTTTCTTTTACCTAACCTAGTTATACCACAGGCATACCTCAAAGATATTGCATGTTCAGTCCCAGACCACCACCACTAGTGAAATAATACAATAAAGCAAGTCAAATGAATTTTTTATTTCCTGGTACATATAAAAGTTATATTTATACTGTACTATAGTTTATTAAGTGTGTAATGGCATTATGTCTAAAAATGTACATATCTTAATTTAAAAGTACTTTGTTATTCAAAAATGCTAACCATCATCTGAACTTTCTGCAAGTCATAAACTTTTTTGCTGGTGGAGGGTCTTGCCTAGATATTGACGGTTGCTGACTGGTTACTGGTGAGTGGTGGCTGCTGAAGGCTGGGATGGCTGTAGCAATTTCTTAAAATAAGATGCAATGACATTTGCCACATCAATTGACTCTTCCTTTCACAAATGATTTCTCTATAGTATGTGATGTTGTTTGATAGCACTTTACCCACAGAACTTCTTTCAAAGTTGGAGTCAACTCTCTCAAATTCCTCTACTCTTCCTCAACTAGTTTAGGTAATATTCTAAATCCTTTGCAGTCATTTCAATAATCTTCACAGCATCTTCACCAGGAGTAGTTTCCATCTCAAGAAACCCCTTTCTTTGCTCATGCATGAAGAAACTTCTCATGATTTAAGCTTTATCAAGAGGTTGCAGCAATCAGTCACATCTTCAGGCTCCATTTCTAGTTCTCTTGCTATTTCTACCTCATCTGCAGTTACTTCCTCCACTGGAGTCTTGAGCCCCTCAAAGTCATCCATGAGGGTTGCAATCAACTTCTTGCAGACTCCTGTTAATGTTGCTATTTTGACCTCTTCCCATGACTCACAAATGTTCTTAATGGCATCTAGAATGGTGAATCCTTGCCAAATGGTTTTCAGCTTACTTTGCTCAGATCCATCAGAGGAATCACCATCTGTGGCAGCCTTATGAAGTATATTCCTTACATAATAAGACCCCAAGTCAAAATTACTCCTTGCTCTGGGGGCTGCAGAACGGATGCTGGGTTAGCAGGTATGAAAACAACATGAATCCCGTTGTCCATTTCCATCAGAGCTCTTGGGTGACCAGGTGCACTGACGATGAGCAGTAATATTTCAAAAGGAATCTTTTTTTTTTTCTGAACAGTAATCACAACAGTGGGCTTAAAATATTCAGTAAACCATGTTGCAAAGAGATGTGTTGTCATCCAGGCTTTGTTGTTCAATTTACAGAGCACAGACAGAGAAAGTTGTAATTCTTAACGGCTGGAGGATTTTCAGAATGGTAAATGAGCACTTCATTTACCTCTCAACTTCAGATCACTGGCTTCATCAGCCCCTAATAAGAGAGTCAGCCTGTCCTCAGAAGCTCTGAAGCCAGGCATTGACTTCTCTCTCTAGCTATGAAAGTCCTAGATGACATCTTCTTCCAGTAGAAGGCTGTCTAATCTACATTGAAAATCTGTTGTTTAGTGTACCCACTTCCATGAGTTACCTGAACTAGATCTTCTGGATAACTTGCTGCAGCTTCTACATCAGCACCTGCTGCTTCACCTTATACTTTTATGTTTCAGAGACTGCTTCTTTCCTCAAAACTCATGAACCAACTTTTGCTAGCTTCCAGTTTTTCTTCTGCAGCTTTCTCAACTTTCTCAGCCTTCACAGAATTGAAGAGAGCTAGGGTCTTGCTCTGGATTAGGCTTTGGCTTAAGGGAATGTTGTAGCTGGTTTGATCTTCTTTGCAGACTACACAGACTATCTCCATTATCAGCAATAAGGCTGTTTCACTTTCTTTAACATTTGTGTATTCATTAAAATATCACTTTTCATTTCCTTCAAGAATTTTTCCTTTGCATTCACATCTTGGCTAAGTGACACAACCAGCTTTTGGTCTATCTCAGCTTTTGACATGCCTTCTTCACTAAGTTGTTTAATCATTTCTAGCTTTTGATTTAAAGTGACAGACATGTAACTCCTCCTTTTACTTGAACACTTAGAAGACACTGTAGGGTTATTAATTGACCTTATTTCAATATTGTTTTGTCTCAGGGAATAGAAAGGCTCAAGGAAGGGGAAGGAAATGGGAACTGTTGGCCGGTGAAGCAGTGAGAATACACATATTTTCAAGTAAGTTCACTGTCTTATGAGTGTGGTTCCTAGTGCCCCCAAATAACTAATTATAATAATAATATCAGAGATCATTGGTCATGGATCACCATAACAAGTATAATAATTAAAAGGTTTAAAATATTGTGAGAATTACCCAAAGTGTAACAAAGAGACCTGAATTGAGCCAATGCTGTTGGAAAAGTGGTGCTGGCAGACTTGCTGATAGAGCTGCCACAAGTCTTCCATTTGCAAAAAATCTGTGAAGTGCAATAAAGTAAAGCAGAATAAAATGAGGTATGCCTGTAAAACTGAAATATATTTAATTGTTTTATGTGTTTAATGAACGGAATTCATTATGAATAGCTGAAACAGTTTTTGTAATTCTATAATTTTGTTAAAGGACATTTTCTTTCCTTTTAATGTACATTTTTGAGACACAGAGAGCAGGCCAGGGGCAGAGAGAGGGAGACAGAAGATTCAAAGCTGGCTCTGCACTGACAGCACAGAGCCCAATGCAGGGCTTGAAATCATGAAGCACGAGATAATGACCTGAGTCAAAGTCAGACGCTTGACAGACTGAGCCACCCAGGTGCCCCTACGTTTTCTTTTTCTTTCTTTCTTTTTTAAGTTTATTTTTGTGAGAGAGAGAGAACAAATGGGGTAGGGGTAGACAGAGAGAGAAAGAATCCCAAGCAGATTCTGTGCTGTCAGCATAGAGCCTGATGTGGTACTTGAACCTATGAATTGTGAAATTATGACCTGAGACCTGAGCTGAAATCAAGAGTCGGTCGCTTAACTGACTGAGCCATCTAGATACCCCCAGGTTTTATAAACTTGAATGAACTTTTTTTTTTTTTGCAAGTCATAAGGTCTTTAGACTGAAAGGTTCCTTACCCTTGCTTTTACTGAACAGAAGCATCATGTTTACCCACTTTCAATTTCTAGCAATGGTGGGAAGGAGGCTTTCCCATAAAACTGCAATTAGAAGAGAAGATGTTCAAACTGTTTTAGAGTTTCCTTGAGGGGAACTTTCAACATTATGTAAGAAAAGTCCCTGTCTTTACTCCACCCACAGAGACTACTTACCCAGTGGTAGAGCTCGGGTCAGGTTAGCAGCTGGAGGATCTGTTTCTGGAGGACAGAGCTCGCAGAAGTCCCAACAGGATGGACAGAGCAGGTTACCGTCGTGAATCCAGCCATTCATCTGAATACTGACCGGGAGGACCTGCCCAGCCCGACTACACAAATATGAAGTGTTCTGAACCCAAACTGTCAGACCTTGGGGAGAACAAGAAACCTTCAAATAGGAAGAAAAAAAATCAGGTCAGTTAGATTCTAGTATATGATATATGAGCCTTACTTCACCTACAGGAAAATACATTCCTAAAAATACTGACTGTAAAACACAAATTGAGGTATAGGCATATCTTTAATCTCATATAAAGAACGCTAAGTTACAGGTTCTAAAATGATTTCACTCTATGGTAGCTGTTCTCTTCAAAAAAATCTGATGAAATCTACAGACATTTTTCAGTACATATACAAGATAACACATAACTTTACATACAATTTGGATTCATAGACCCCTGTAACCAAGTTATCAAGAATAACATTTCTGTAGGGGTGCTGACTGGCTCAGCTGGTGGAGTGTGTGACTCTTGATCTTGAGGTTGTGAATTTGAGCCCCACATTGGGTGTAGAGGTTGCTTAAAAAAATAAAATCTTAAGAGTCTCTGGGTGGCTTAGTCAGTTAAGAACCCAACTCTTGATTTCAGCTCAGGTCATGATCTCACAGTGGGACTGAGCTCTGTGTTGCGCTCCTTGCTGTCAGAGGGAAGCTTACTTGGGATTCTCTTTCTCCCTCTCTACCCTTCCCATGTACCTGCACTCTCTCTCTCTCCCTCAAAATAAACTTTTAAAAAATTGCTTTTAAATAAACAAAATCTTTAAAAAAAAAAAAAAGAGTAACATTTCTGTAGATTCTAGTATCTTCATTATACCTCATCTTAAATCTTTGTCAAAGAGCCATTTTCTCCACAAGTCACAAATTCTGCAAATCGAATTTTTATTTAAGTTATAAATAGAATATATGCTCATTGTTAAAAAAAAAAAAAAAGCATACAGCACAGAAATGTACATAGTAAAAAGTTCTTTATTCTTTTTCCCTATCCTAGATCCTCTGCTCAGGTATAAAAATGGTCCTAGTGACTTTTATTTTTTAATGTTTTCATTCATTTCTGAGAGAGAGAGAGAGAGGCAGTGTGAGCAGGGGAGGGTCAGAGAGAGAGGGGAGACACAGAATCTGAAGCAGGCTCCAGGCTCTGAGCTAGCTGTCAGCACAGAGCCCGATGCAGGGCTCAAACCCACAAATGGTGAGATCACGACCTGAGCCGAAGTCAGACACTTAACCGACTGAGCCACCCAGGAGTCCTCATCCTAGTGATTTTAATATGGACTGGTAACGTCTTCAAAGGTAGCACTTGGGTTGCCTGGGTGGCTCATTTGGTTAGGTGTCTGAGTCTTGGTTTTGGCTCAGGTCATGATCTCATGGTTTGTGAGTTTGAGCCCCACACTGAGCTCTGTGCTGACAGTGTGGAGCCCACTTGGGATTCTCTCCACCCTTCTCTCTGCCCCTCCCATGCACATGCTCTCTCTTTCTCTCCCAAAATGAATGAATAAACTTAAAAAAAGTGCTAAGGTAGGACTCATATTTTAACTGCAGGGGGTAACTAATAAAATCAGATTGTTTTCTTTTTATTTTACAGAGAGAAGGCACAAGTAGGGCAGAGGGAGAGAGAAAGAGAAAGAGCAGGGCTCAAATGCATGACCCTGAGATCATGACCTGAGAGAAATCAAGATCGGAGGCTCAACCTACTGAGCCACCCAGACACTCAAGTCAATTTTAAAAAGCAAACACCCTAAAACTAACTTAAAATAGTAAATGTATCTTCTTCACAATTTTATAAAAAGACTTCACATTAATATCAGTTATGCTACTTCACTTTAAATATTTCTGGTGCTTCTCTCCTGGGCCTACCTTCAAACCAAGTGTATGATTCTGAATGTTTGATGGTGGCAAATTTTTACTTTGCAAGTTGATGTAGTTTTTAGAAATACCAAAAGTTGCCCAGAACCAAGTCTGGTAAAGTTGATTAAATCAGTTAACATTAAATTAATATAGGTATGATGCAAAACACTAAAACTGATTTTCCTAGGAGGATACTAAACTATTTCTAAAGGCAATTTCAAGAGGAGTTCTGAAAGTACATTTCAACAATGGAGTCATTTTTGAAATAACTCAATCATCAACTAAGTTTAAATGTAATACTCACTTGGAAATTTAAGTTCTAATAAGCTCAAGAAAACAAATGATAACAAAGTGTAACCTCTTCCATAAGTCTGTCATTCAATGACCCACATCTAGTAAGCACTACCATAACTACAGTGCAATGTAATCATTCTTTTAAGGAAGAATTGACTGAATATTGTGCTTTGTGGCTGAAAAGGATACCATAGAAGTCCATTACACAATGCCTGACGTCTAGCAGCTTTAACTGAAGAGAAAAGGGTGGGATATAAATTCCCATACCCCTCTCCCCCATATTTAACAGTGTTAGACTGTTTTATAATTAAGAATCAATGTTGGTTCAATGCAATCCCAATCAAAATTGTACCAGCATTCTTCTCAAAACTAGAATAAATTATCTTAAAATTTGTATGGGAACCACAAAAGACCCCAAATAGCCAAAGTAATATTGAAGAAGAAAACTAAAATGGGAGGCATCACCATCCCAGACTTTAGCCTCTACCACGAAGCTGAAATCATCAAGAAAGTATGGTACTGGCACAAAAACAGACACATAGACCAAGGGAAGAGAATTGAGAACTCAGAATTGGACCCACAAATGTATGGCCAACTAATCTTTGACAAAGTGGGAAAGAGTATCCAATGGAAAAAAAGACAGCCTCTTTAACAGATGGTGCTGGGAGAACTGGACAGCAACATGCAGAAGAATGAAACTAGATCACTATCTCACACCATACACAAAAAAAAACTCAAAATGGATAAAGAACCTGAATGTGAGAAAGGAAACAATCAAAACACTAGAGGAGAAAGCAGGAAACAACCTCCTTGACCTCAGCCGCAGCAATCTCTTACTTGACACATCCCTACAGGCATGGGAATCAAGAGCAAAAACGAATTATTGGGACCTTATCAAGATAAAAAGCTTCTGCATGGCAAACGAAATAATAAAATAGGCAACCGACGGAATGGGAAAAGATAGTTGCAAATGAATATCAGATAAAGGGCTAGTATTCAAAATCTATAAGGAACTCACCAAACCCCACACCCGAAAAACAAATAATCCAGTGAAGAAATGGGCAGAAGACATGAACAGACACTTCTCCAAAGAGGACATCCAGGTGGCCAACAGACACATGAAACAATGCTCAGCATCACTCATCATCAGGGAAATACAAATCAAAACCACACTCAGAGTGGTGAAAATGAACAAATCAGGAGACTCTAGATGCTGGGGAGGATGTGGACAAAAGGGCATCCTCCTACAATGTTGGTGGGAATGTAAACTGGTGCAGCCCCTCTGGAAAACAGTGTGGAGGTTCCTCAAAAAATTAACAATAGAACTCCCCTATGACCCAGCAATAGCACTGCTAGGAATTGACCCAAGGGATACAGGAGTGCTGATGCATAGGGGCACATGGAACCCAATGTTCATAGCAACACTCTCAACAATAGCCCAAACATGGAAAGAGCCTAAGCGTCCATCAACTGACAAAGAGATCAAGAAGATGTGGTTTATCTATACAGTGGAATACTACATGGCAATGAGAAAGAATCAAATCTGGCCAAGTGTAGCAACATGGATGGACCCTGAAGGTGTTATGCTGAGCAAAATAAGTCAGGTAGAGAAGGACAGATACCATATGTTTTCACGTATAGGTGGATTAGGAGGAACTTAACAGAGGACCATGGGGGAGGAGAATGGGAAAAACAGTTGGGGAGAGGGAGGGAGGCAAACCATGAGAGACTCTTGAATACTGACAACAAACTGAGGGCTGATGGGTGGGGGGGGAGGGGAAGGGGGTGATGGACATGGGGGAGGGCACTTGTGGGGATGAGCACTGGGTGTTATATGGAAACCAACTTGACAATAAACTATTTAAAAAAAAGTCAATGTTGGAAGGTGGAGGCAATGACAAAAGGCACTGTGAGACTGAAAAATGAAGGAGGCAACTCCATATACTCTTTATACAGTTTAATTCAGGGTAACTTACTGACAGCACCATCATGTGGATAGTGATCTGGACAGTTGTGCAGCTATTCTCTTCAAATTCCAGACCTTAGTCTACATATTTTATAGATAGAGGGGACAAGCAGAAGGGTATGTAGTAAGATCAAAAGGCTCACATGCACTTCAAAGGGTTCACATGCATCCAGTAGACAGCTAATCTTTAACAGAACTTGTGGTACCATCTGGGCACCAGGAGGAGGAAAGAATATGTTATCTCTAACAGATTCACAGGAGGCCAAAGCAAGCCTCCGTTATTCTGGTTTTGGAGGGCATTTTTCTAAGGTATGCATATTAATCTCCAAGTGGCTTGGAACACATAGGCCCTAAGTGAGGTCATCAATCATACATGAACAAGATGGAGGGCTAAAGATGGAGTCAGTATTCCTACAGTCAGTAAATGGTAGAAACAAGAGCAATAAAGCTTAGAAGAGCTTCATGGAAGAAAGAGCATTTATATCCTAAAGATGTACACAAAATTCGGTTCACAGTGAGCGAGAGAGATGTGACCTAGTGGACTGTGTCAGAATCTGGGTGAGTAAGGAGGGTAATTATGTAGAGGTGGAAGAAGGTGAAAGGGATGTGGACAGATCAAATAAGGACTGAGGAAATGAGAGCCAGATTTCTCTTTGAGAAAGGAGTTACAGATATGGAAAGGGAGAAAACTAAACTGAACCCTTTAGTGTTGGACTGGAACCAAACTCAGTTACATATACACACTGGTACAAACTCAGTTATATATACACACATATGAATATACATACAAAATACATATATCTACTTCCCAGATCTGTTCACCAAGAGGGCTTGGGGAATAGCTATGGCCTAGTGGCAAAGGATAGTACGTTAACAAACAGATCTTAGTCTCTTAAATACCACACTTCACTAAAAAAACTAGAGCTTTTTGGGGTGTCAGAGTGGCGTAGTCAGCTATGTGTCTGAGTCCTGATTTCAGTTCAGGTCATGATCTCGCGGTTTAGGAGTTCGAGCCCCAGGTCGAGCTCTGCACTGACAGTGCAGAGCCTGCTTGGGATTCTGTCTTTCTCTCTCTCTGCCCCTTCCCTGCTTGCACTCTCCCTGTCTCTCTCCCTCAGAATAAATAAAAACAAAAACAAAAACTAGAGCTTCTTAAAGAATTGGTTGACTCAAGGGCTCGATGTGCCTAGAATACCTTGTGCCAGAAAGCAAGGAAAAACTCAAAGAAAGCTGGGGAAAGTCCAGAAGGATACAGAAGCCTATAGGGGCTTCCTCTGGCCAGATCTAGGGGAAACTGAATATCAAAATAAATAATGATAGTGATGGTAATACTTTTAATAAAATGGATTCCATGATTCAATGCAGATACAAATGCATAAATTAATAAAATGAAAGTTTGATAAGAAAAATGTATTGACATAGCATTTCCCTGCAAAATATTTATTAATTACAAAGGGAGTTAATAACAAATGAGTAATTGATAGTGGAGAAGTCTGGGAGATACCAACAAGTTAACTTCACCAGTAAAAAAGGACAAATCAAAAGAATGTACCACCATAAGAACATGAGCATCACTTCTGTGATATTATTGCCCAAAATACATGAACTGAATTTCATCATGAGGCAACATATGACAAACCCAAATTGAGATACATCTTAGAAAAAAATGACTTATAGTTTTTTAAAATGTGAGGGTTATAAAAATCAAAAAAATAATGAGGAAGTGTTCCAGACTGAAGGACACAAGAGACAGGACAACTATGCAATATGTGATAGACCAGATCATACACTACAAGGACATTATTGGGACATTAGCAGAGCTTGAATAGGGTCCAAGAATTAGATATATCAGTGTTCATTTACTAATTAAAAAAAATTTTTTTTATAGTACTGTGGTTATCTAGGGAGATTTCTTGTTTATAAGAAATATGCAAAGCACACGGGGTTGAGGGTGAAGCATGTCAGCAACTTGCACTTAAATGACTCAGAAAAAATTCTGTATCACTCTTGCAGCTTCTCTGTCAAAATAAGTAAAACAAACAACAAAAAGCAAAAAAGCTAATTCATGTTAATTGTTTGCAAATCATACACATTTTCTTATATAAATGGTGGTTAGTATTAAATTAGTAAAATTAAATTAGCAAAATTAACTGACAACTCAAAGTACAGGGAAGCCAAGTACATTCAATCTTTGTAGATGGTATTGCAAATCTGCATAATCCCTTTGAGGTGCTGGTGGTGTTGACAAACCATTAAAGTTGCCTAAAGAGGGAGTGCCTGGCTGGCTCAGTTGGTAGAGCACATGACTTCTGATCTCAAGGTCATGAGTTCAAGCTCCATGTTGGGTGTAAAGCTTACTTTATAAATAAAGAAATAAAATGAAATAAGAGTCTGAACAGGTCATCCTCCTATTACAGTTGCCACTGTTCTAGCTTTATCCCTTTTAATATTTTCACTTATGGGGCGCCTGGGTGGCTCAGTCGGTTAAGCGTCCAACTTCGGCTCAGGTCACGATCTCACGGTTTGTGGGTTCGAGCCCCATGTTGGGCTCTGTGCTGACAGTCAGCTTACAGCCTGGAGCCTGTTTCAGATTCTATATCTCCGTCTCTCTCTGACCCTCCCCTGCTCATGCTGTCTCTTTCTCAGAAGTAAATAAAACATTTAAAAAATTAAAAAAATATATTTTCACTTATGGGGATTTTGAAAAATAATTTTTAAAAAGGTAAAATATGTCAATGTGCTTATAAAAGTATATTTTATCATGAAAAGTGAAAATTAACTCAATATACAATGAGGAAATGACTTCCCTAATTATAAAAAAGATGCGATGAAATTAGTTAAAGACAAGTATATGACTTCACTCATACATATAATTTAAGATACAAAACAGATGAACGGAAAGGAAGGGAAGCAAAAATAATATAAAAACAATGAGGGGGACCAAACATAAGAGACTCTTAAATATAGGGAACAAACTGAGGGTTGCTGGAGGGCTTGTAGGTGGAGGAATGGGCTAAATGGACAAGGAACATTAAGGAGGACACCTGTTGGGATGAGCACTGGGGGTTATATGTAAGGAATGAATCACTGGGTTATACTCCTGAAATCATTATTGTGCTACATGCTAACTAATTTGGATGTAAATTAAAAAAAAAAAAAGAAAAGAAGAAAAGGATGCAATCTCTTGGGGGGCCTGAGTAGCTCAGTCAGTTGAGAGTCTAACTTCACCTCAGGTCATGATATCCTGGTTTGTGAGATCGAGCCCCGCAACAGGTTTGTTGCTATCAGCTCAGAGCCTGCTACAGATCCTCTGTCCCCCTCTCTCTCTGCCCCACACTCTACTTATGCACTTTCTCTCTCAAAAATTAATAAACATTTATTTAAAAAAAAAAGATGCAATGTCTTATAGCCATAAAGAATAGTAATTATTGGGGCACCTAGCTGGCTTAGTTGGTAGAGCATGTGACTCTTGATTTTAGGGTTGTGAGTTCAAGCCCCATGTTGGGGGTAGAGTTTACTTACAAAAAAAAAAAAAAAAAGAAAGAAAGAATAGTAATTTTTATTATTGGAAAAACTTGGAAAAGGTGTTTTGTTCTGCTAAGTACTAAGTAAAGGCAGTAAAACAAAATTTTGTATTATGATTATAACCAGGTCAAAACTATCATAAATAAATAAATCTTCAATGGAATTCATCAGAAAATGATTGTAGGATTACAGTTATCAGATTATTACTGAAAAATATTTATTTTAAATTGTCATTGATAAGATTTCAAAGATAATTTTATATGAATTGTATGATGTCTTAATTATATCTCAATAAAGCTGTTACCAAAAAGCTAATTTATAAGTAACCTTAAAAGTAATAATTAAATTCCAAGCTATGTAAATCCATTTAGATCTTGCAGCTGAAATGGTACAAAAAATTCTTACTTTTCAGTTCTCAGGATCCCACTTTCCTCCATGACATCCATTAGTAGAGTATAGAATATTCTTTAAGTTAGATATTCATAAGTTATAGAACACCTGTATCTTAGTATGTTTTAATAAGGTGATGCAATTATTTAAAGTAATTTGCTACTTTTGGATTTCTAATGACAAATGAAAAAATCTATTATTAATCTGTAGTTGATTTATTCTTAAATCCATGCTTTCCTCAGATCTTATGAAATAAAATTGCAAATAATACCTGTTCAAGAACAAAATTACATATATTCCAGTGTCATGAAGTCAAAGATCCTCTCCCTTCTTTGTAGAATTAAGATAACTTTGATTTTATAGCTTCTGAGCTAAAATAACTTTTGTAAAGATTAAGCTCACTTAGATATTTTTTTTTTTACAAATAATTTATTGTCAAGTTGGTTTCCATATAACACCCAGTGCTCATCCCAAGTGCCCTCCTCCATGCCCATCTTCCCCCTACCGCCCTACACCCATCAGTCCTCAGTTTGTTCTCAGCATTCAAGAGTCTCTCATGGTTTGCCACTCTCCCTCTCCCTGACTATTTCCCCTCTTTTCCTCCCCCACAGAGGATGGTACTCCGTTAAGTTCCTCCTAATCCTCCTTGAGGGTGTTATGCTGAGCAAAATACCATATCATTTAGATTCTTTAAAAGTATTTCAGCTGCAGGGGTTTTGTTTTGTTTTGTTTGCTTACTTTTAAATTAACTGTTACAAGCTTTGAATCCCTAAGGCTTTGAGGGAGAACCCAATTTTCAATTATGTTGGCTTTTTATAAGCTTGAGTTATGTAAGATTTCAATAAAAAATTTGCTTCAAGATGATTGCCTTACTGAATAGGTCAGTATTAAATTCCTTTAAATATTGATAATCTGCTCTTTGTGGAAACGATGTAAACTCAAAGTGTAAAAGGTGGCAAACCTCAGACCAGCAATAAATTATTCGATTTGGATTTTAAAAAATTTCATATTCCATTATTTTCTTGGGCTATATTCCTCAAATAAAATTAATATAAAACTTGCTGATATATATATATATATATCAGCAATTATACATATTTTTAAACAAGTGGAAAAAGGTAATTTCTCAAAGAAATGACAATATTTTCACAAGACATGAGCATTCAAAATAATATTTATATAAACAAGATAAATTAAAGTATTAATCAGTAAATTATATAAAAATATAAAATATATTTTAAAATAGAAAAACCATGTAATGAGATAAATTATATAATATTTAATAATAATTAACAATCATATAGTTTACCTGATAACATCCACTCCCCCAGTCTGGGTAACTCAGCTTCCTCTCACACTTTTCCATGACAAATGCGGATTTCTGAATTAGACAAACTGAATGAGGTCCATACTTTTCAGCACCATAGTTTTTAAAAAGGTCTGAAGCAAACCAGAGAACTTTTCTTAAAAATTGACATTTGGCACAAAGAACACGAAATGAATCATGCCTTTTTTTTTAATAGTTTATTGTCAAGTTGGTTTCCATATAACACCCCGTGCTCATTTCCACAAGTGCCTCCTCCATGCCCATCACCCCTCTGCCCCCCACCCTCATCAGCCCTCAGTTTGTTCTCAGCAGTCAAGAGCCTCTCATGGTTTGCCTCCCTCCCTTTCCCCCACTATTTTTCCCCTTCTTCTCCCCCATAGTCCTCCGTTAAGTTCATTCCATTTTTATGGCTACAAGTTGCTTTAAAATTCAAGCATGTGAGGGCTGCCTGGGTGGCTCATTTGGTTAAGCTTCTGACTCTTGATTTCAACTCAGGTCATGCTCTCATGGTTGTGAGATGAAGCCCCCATCAGGCTCTGTGCTGACAGTGCAGAGTCTGCTTGGGATTCTCTCCTACCCCTTCTCTCTGTTTACTCTTCCCCTACTCCTGTGCATGCACGCATGTATGTGTTCTCTCTCTCTCTCAAAATAAATACATAAACTTAAAAAAAAAAGATTCTTTCTCCAGCTCCTCTGCCCCTCCCTACTTGTATGTGGCTTGCTCTCTCTCTCTCTAAAAAAATTAAATTAGGGGTGCCTGGGTGGCTCAGTCAGTTAAGCGTCCAACTTCGGCTCAGGTTGTGATCTCACAGTTTGCGGGTTTGAGCCCCGCGTTGGGCTCTGTGCTGACAGCTTAGAGCTTAGAGCCTGCTTCAGATTCTGTGTCTCCCTCTCTCTCTGCCCCTCCCCCACTCACACTCTGTCTCTCTGTCTCTCAAAAATGAATAAACATTAAAAAAATTTTTTAATTAAATTGAAATAAAAATCAAACATGTTTAATGGAAATTTTCAATTAAAAAAAAATCAAGAGAAACAGGGCTCCAAAATCAAACTGGGTTCTCAATAAAGGACTTCACAGGGCGCCTGGGTGGCTTAGTCGGTTAAGCGTCTGACTTTTGCTTGGGTCATGATCTCGTGGTTCGTGGGTTCGAGCCCCACACTGGGCTCTGTGCTAGCAGTGTGGAGTCTGCTTGGGATCATCTCTCTCTCTCTCTGCCCCTCTTCTACTTGTATTCTCTCTCAAAATAAATAAATAAACTTAAAAAAAATAAAGTTATCTCAGTTAGCTATATAGAGGATATGGCATTAATAATTGTCTTTACTGGTAGTCTAAATAGGAGTTACCATCTGTCATGACCCATGACAGATGCAGCCAAGCAATTTATATAAAGGCTTTTGAGGGGATGTTGTAAAAACTTTTTGCAAAGTTTTCTTGTATTTTCATTTTATGCTATCTGCTGGAAGTCCGTACATAAGATGCTGATCTAACATCAGACTAAACACAAATGTGCAGGGGTGCCTGGGTGATTCAGTTGATTGGGTGTCTGACTTCAGCTCAGGTCATGATCTCACAGTTTGTGAGTTCGAGCCCAGCATTGGGCACTGTGCTGACAGTTCTGAGCCTGGAGCCTGCTTCAGATTCTGTGTCTCCCTCTCTCTCTGCCCCTCCCCAGCTCACACTATTTCTCTCTTTCAAAAATAAATAAACATTAAAAAAATTTTTTAAAACCCCAAACATGCAGAGGGATAGGGTGGATTAAATGACCTCTATCTAGCTAATGGACAAATGAATGAGGCTCTTAAGCCCTAGCAATAATTCGCTCTCTTTACACTTAGTACAAGTAAGTTTCATTTTTTGAAAACAGAGGGTTCTTAGAGATAAGTATTTTATGTCAGTTTTGAAAAATTTTAACTATATAAGCTAAGAAAGAAAATGTTAAACAGAAATAAAGAGAACTATTGTTTTTTATATTTGTGAGTATTTCAAAGTCCCTGAAAACAAAGTTGTCAGTGTCAAAAAAAAAAAAAAAAGAAGAAGAAGAAGAAAAAGAAAAAGAAAAGGGGATGCTCAGCAAACTATAAGCCTCAGGTCAAATCCTGAGGGTTAGCTGTTTTCATAAATAATAAAAGTTTTATTGGAACACAGCCATTAATTTATGTATTAATTTATATGTTGTCTATAATTGCTTTCACATTGTAACAGATTTCAATAGTTTCAACAGAGACCATATGACCCACAAAGTTTAAAATATTTACTATCTTTCTCTTTACAATAAATGTTTGCCAATTCCAGCTCTAAAACAGTAAGATGTGACACCATCTTTGGCAAACCCATAAGTGACAGATCTCTGTATTTCTCAGTTTTAACATGGAACTGCAGAATAGTTACAAGTTTTTAGACATTTATTAAATATGTGAGTGATGAAAAAATGACTATATAAATTCAGCTAAATCTACCAGGTTTAGCAATAAAAGGAAAAACCATTATGGAAATTTAAAATGTAAAAAGCAGAGTCTGTAATGAAGTATGGAATAGGGGGAGGAATAAAAAGGACTGGGTTATAAATTCTGATGACCACAGAGTAAGAAACTACTTATTGCTCTTTATTAACATATATGTGATAACATTTTGTTTACAGGGGTGAATACCCAATTGTTATATTCTTTATGTTTATTAAAAGGGAACAAATAATATGGTAATACATCTTACTAGCCATGGGACAATAGTATTGTTCTGATATCTGGAGAATAACATATTACTTCTAAATTACATAAAATGCACACTCCTGAGGAGAGAAAAAAAATAGGGTACCTAATATGATTTAATAAAAAGAGCTCTGCAGTGGAGGATGTTACACAGGTACCAAATTAACTGTATTATTTAGAGTCTCTTCATTTACCTGTGAAATTCAGTATTATCTTTTCTATGTCTCTCATCAGGTTTTTAGAGGAATAAAATGAAATGATAAAAACGAAAGTGCTCTGCAAATGAGTGTCATGCAGATGTAAGGTATGACAAAAAAGTAGTGCATGCACACATGTGCAAGTGTATCTAACAGCTAAGAACCCTTGTTATGAGTCACAGTTCGAAGCATTTACTTTATGAATTCATTTATTAGTTCTCACAGCAACTCTGTAAGATAGGTTCTATTATCCCCTTTGTACAGAGGAAGAAACTGAGGCACAAAGAAGTTAAGTTACTTCACAAATGGATACCGGTGGAACCATAATACAAACTCACAGAGTATGGCTCCTGGGTCTATGTCCTTAACCCTTATTTTATACTGCTGATATGTGATTTTAATATGTATATAACATTTCATTTTACTATACTACTAACCTGGTTGATTTTCCAATATCCTACAATCTGAGCTGCGCTGATATTCACCACTTAAATGCCAACTGAATTCCTGACTGAAAGGGCAGTAGTCAGCAATTTCTACTGAACCACCATAATAAGGCAAATCTTCTGTAGGTATTCCACTTAGTTTATCGAAGTACTACAAAAAAAATTATTAGGAAGATAGAAAAGTCAGAAACATACTATATAATCAAACAAACAATTTATAGCAATCCCTAATACTGTAAAACACAAAAAAGATATTACCGTATTTTCCTCCATTTATAATAGAACATAAAGAGAGTAATACTGTACCTGAGTGGTATTCAAGGTTGTTATAGTTTTAGAAATAAACAAGGTAAGTATATTATTTTTATTAGATGACAAATTTGACTAATGTTTTAAAAGGATGAATAGGAAGAGTTTTAAGTGTTGACAAAACACAAACTAATCCAGAGAATTAAGGTATTTTAAATATAATGCACTTAAAGTGTTATTAGAAGACTTAATTTATGTGTTGTTTTGACAAACTTGAAAAAGCAAAACTATGAGACTATGAATGAGATAATATATGTAAAATACTTGGAACGCCAAAGGAACAAGGCACCAGATAAATTTTAAAGATTTCACATTTACACTAACTCACTGAATTATCTTCCTATGCCTAGAAATAGAGTTGCCATCTTACGGTGTCTGAAGCATTCAGTGGGGTCATGAACATATGCAGGAAAGCTCAATATTTAGCAGCAATCATTTTAAATCTTCTGAAATGCCCCTTCTGACTACAGGGTCCTCTGTAAATGGCAGGCAGAACTGAAGAGTTTTAGAGATGGCTACTGCAACATAAAACTTACAGGTCAAACCAGAGATTCAGACTGAATATGTGGGATCAATTCCTTCACCTTTTAGATCCCATGAGTCAAATCTTTCCTAAAGTAGAACTTTTAAGACTTGTAATGAATTGGAATACAGTACCTCAGTTATTCTCTTAAAACACCTTGTTTTCTGTGTAAATTAGAGGAAATTAAAGATGAAGACTTTGGAAACAATTAGAAAAAAATACAAATCATTTAAAAATAGATCCAATAAATATTCTAAATGCCTCTTACTATTACTACAAGGCATTGCTAGATATTGTTATTGACCAGCACATTGGTTTTAAAGAATTGTAAAAATTCTTCATCTTTTTCTAACTTATAGAAAACCAATGGGGCTTTTTACAAGTTGAAAAACTTAATTTACTCTTCTAATTCAAGATGGAGACTTCACTTTAAAATTGAGATGATTCCTAAAATTTTGCCCCAAACAAGTGTTACCTGGTACTCTTGAGGCAAAGGTTTTGAAAACTTCTGCAAATTACACACGGCAACTGCTCTCTGGTCTTGGCGGCAAGTTAACTGTAAGGGATTACTTCTGAGCGTGTCACAAAAAGGGCTCAGCGTCTGCCTCCTGCACACAAAGAAACACCACGGTATCAAACTCTAAAGAAAACATAATAAATCCAATTTCTATTATAATTTTAATATGTTCTGATAGCTTAAAAATAAATGCTGAATCAGATTATAATGTTATGTTTCAAAGGGTAAAAACAAATGCTTAATGTTATAAAAGATTAATGTCAAATGCATTATAACATTGCTTCACCATTATTAAACAAAATATTTATCTCTTTCTCCACTTTTGTCAGTAAAATGAATTTCTGCAGATCTGATCTGTGTGTTTAATGACAAATTATGAAATTTCCAAGCCGGCTTAGAAATACAAATCTTCATAATTAATATAATGGAGTATTATAAAGAGATAGAGACGATGCATACCCTTTCTGCACTGCAGCTACAAAGAGTGAAGTGTTTTCTATGGGATGATCTAGTTCAAAGACTCCTGTTTGACAGTCTGTTATACTGAAAACATTAATAAGACATCTTGCTTTCATGTGCAAAATGAAGACTGTGAATATTCCTAATTATTGCAAGTTGCTCTCTTCTGTTAAATCTAATGTTGGAAGTACAATTTGGAAAAAGAGATCTTATAATTTCCAGATACCAAAATCTATTGCACTGTTCTGTAAAAATAATCTTCAAACCAAACTATGATTCTAATTGGTCATCTTATTGATAATTACAATACAAATAATATTAATGTCATAATAGTAATGTTATAAATGAAATTCCAATATTCTTAAACAATATAAATCCTATTAAAACTGACTGCCAAATTGTGATAGTATTACTGTTATTTTTCCTCTTCTTCCACATGCTTTTTTAAGGGAAAAAGCCTAGATTAGATTTATTTTAGGCAAAATTGATACTTGCTTCATTTAAGTTAACAAAGTATAGCAATAAAACATCTCTCAGGGAATCACAGTTTCTTGAGATAAAATGTGTAAAAGACCTACCATAGTCTTTGGTAAACTTGAAGCAGCACACTGTAATAAGAAAGCAAAGATCTAGAAGTCTTCACGCAGGCTTGGTTTCAAATACTAGCTTATCTGATGTTTACTTCATTTTCCTGGGCTTCAACTATAAAGCACTCAGTGCTCAGCACAGACAGGTTACTCAATAAATGTAATTTCAGTGTCCCCACCACTTTTATAAAATCTTTACAGGGGCACCTGGGTGGCTCAGTCGGTTCAGTGTCTGACTTTGGCTCAGGTCATTATCTTGTGGTCCGTAAGTATAAGCCCTGCGTCGAGCTCTGTGCTGACAGCTTGAAACCTGGAGCCTGCTTCAGAATCTTTGTCTCCCTCTCTCTTCCTCTCTCTCTCTTGATAATACTGTCTCTCTCTCTCTCAAAAATAAACATTAAAATTTTTTTTAAATCTTTACATAGTGTGATTTTATAACTTTCTATGAATAAGATTCCAATGAATATGACCAGTAATTACTAGGCTACTTTCTCGATAACATAAAATTCATTTCCTTTTTCTCTAAAATAAAACAATACATAATATTTACCTTAAAGTAATTAAAATATGAGTTTTGGTTAAATGGATAGAGAAGAATTAGGAAGTTAAAAAATACTGATTTAGAGATCCAAAGTTAGAGTTGTTCAAGATTCATGGCATATAATTCTAAAGCAGCATAGCCTAATCGAACTTTCTGCAATGGAGCTGTGCTGTCCAACACAGTAGCCACTAATCATGTGGTTATTAACCACTTGAAATGTGACTAGTGCAACTGAAGAACTGAATTTTCAGTTTTATTTAACTTTAATTAATTTAAATATAAATTTATATAACCACATGTGGCTAGTGGTACTTTATTGGACAGTGCCACTCTAGAGCTGATATCAAAGGCAAATAAACTAAGAAGAGGAGTTAATAATACACAGGTCATTTCAAAACACAGAAAGTACCTTATTTTGTGTGTGCATAGATTCAAATGATTCAAATAAGGAGGGTTCTGCCTATACTCAACTGCTCCCTTCTCACTCCAGTAATCCAACAATAAAGGAGAGGTGCCACAGCTGAAGTTAAGCACCAGCCCCTGTGCTCAAGAAAGGTTACACTGGAATCTAAGATAACTCAAGGATATGGCCAGACTGGGCCTATGGTGCCAAAAGTTGACCTCTGTGCTCAACATTTCAAAAGTGGGACATTTGAATGCTTATGACAGGGAAGAGTAAACTTCAACTCTTGGGTCAAATCCTGCCCAAAACTGCTCTTTCGGTTTCTTTGTTTCTTGTTTTTGTAAATAAAGTATTACTGGGACATGGCCAGGCCCATTCATTTTGTCTTTGGCTATTCCTGATGTACAAAAGCAGAGTTGAATAGCTGCAACAGACACTATATGACTCTGAAAGGCTAAAATATTTGCTAATTGGCCCTAGACAGATGTTGGCTTATGGCTGGAAGTACAGAATTCAGGGACCAAAAGTTTTAGTTTTGAAGAATGGAGAAGAGGAAGTTCCCTTCTGTTTTTGGAGATCTGATTGTAGCTGTTAAAAGAAAAAAAAATCTCTAAGGTCTGGCAGTTGCAACGTTAATTATGTACTTCCTATAACACATTGGAACAGCAGTTCCCTAACTTTGCTGCAAAGTGAAATCACCTGGGGATCTCTAAAAAATAAAAAAGCCAACGCCGGTTTCCCACTTCCAGACACTCTCATTTAATTGGGATGGGCTGTAACATGGGAATGGAGATTTTATTAAAAAGTCTGTCTAGATGATTCAAAGGCACAGGAAAATTTGGGAACTATTACACTAGCAGATCAAGTTGTAGTGCTAGATATAACTAGCTGTCCCAAAAGTGGCTGCAGGTGCTTCCTGACTTCCTGATACCGCTTATTAGCAGCTCTTTTCACAGCAGGGTTATAATTCAGATGTCAGACTCCTTAGTAGAAACTGATTTCAACCACTTTGAGACTTAACCCACGAGAGAAAAATAAGAATGACATCTTCACAAGATGTACCTGTGATCTAGTGGACATGGCACTGGACCTGGAGAGAAAGAAGCTAAAGTCCTAGCTCTGTCCCTCATCAACTATGTGATTCTAAGCAAGTCACCTGTTTCAAATTTTTATTTTTTAAAAAATGTTTATTTATTTTTGAGAGGAAGAGAAAGAGAGCATGAGAGGGTGAGGGGCAGAGAGATATGGGGACAGAGGGGAACTTTAACTTCAAGCTGTGCTGATAGCCGTGAGCCTGATGCAGGGCTCAATCTCATGAACTGCAATATCATGACCTGAGCCAGTGTTGGATACTCAACCAACTGAGCCACTCAGGTGCTCCATTTATCTCAACTTTTAAATTATCAGCAAAATGAACAACATATTGAAATTCATGGGACACAGCTAAAGAAGTGCTAAGAGAGAAATAGCATTAAATACATGTTAGAAAGATGTAAAATCTCAAATCAATAATCAAGAAACTAGAGAGAGAATAAAACAAAAACAAGCATAAGGAAGGCTGTAATAATGACAATAACAGAAATCAATAAATTAGGAAACAGAAAAACAATAAAAGACATCAGTGAAACAAAAAGCGAGTACTTTAAAAAGAATAAAATTGACAAACCCTAGCAAAAGTGAAAAAAAAATCAGAAAACGCAAATTACCAATATTAGGAATGAAATGGAACCTCCCTATAGACCTTACAGACACTAAAATAATAGTAAGGAACTGCTACAAACTACTCTGTACACATAAATCTAATAACTTTGGTAAAATGAACTAATACTTCAATAAACACAAATTACCCCAATTGATCCATTATGAAATAGAAAAATATGAATAGCTGTGTAAATATTAAGGAAGTTGAGTTAATACTTTTTTAATTGCCCTGATACAAAAAACAAAAATAGTACAAAAAAGAAACAAAGATAATATCATACTCTCCATGAATATATACAGAAAATTCCATTACAAATATTAGTACATGGAATTCAGCAACATACAGAAATAACAATATACCATGACTAAGTGGGGTTTATTCCAGCAACAGAAGACTGGTTTAATATTTGAAAATCAATCAATGTAATCCATCATATTAACAGATTTTTTAAAAATCACATAATTATATCAACCAAAGCAGAAAAATGACTTGACAGAAGTCAACATCCATTTGTGATAAAAATTCTCAGCAAAACAGAACTAGAGGGCAACTTCAACTTGAAAAGGAGCATCTACAGAACACCTACAACTAACATTATACTTAATGGTGAAAAGCTAAATGTCTTCCCTTCTCATTGGATTTAAAAAGTCAATAAGGATGTCAATTCTCCTAAAATTGATAATATAGGTTTTTAACATAATTCATAGAAAAATCCCAGCAAGTTTTTTTTTTGTAGACAAGGTTATTCTGAAATTTATATCAAAGGCAAAGGAACTAGAGTAGCTAAAATTATTATGAAAAATAAAGTGGGAAGAATACATTTACCCAATTTTAAAATATAGTATGGCTACAGTAACAAAGGACTGTGCAGTGTTAATGGACTGACAGACACACAGATCAATGAAACAGAATAGAGAACACAGAAATAGACCCATAAAAATACACTCAACTGATTCTTTCACAAATGGAAGAAAACAATTCAATGAAAGAGAGATAACCTTTTCAACAAATGGGGCTGGAACAACAGGACATCCATACACCAAAAAATGAACTTTGACCTAAGTCTCCCACTTTATACAAAAATTAACTAAAAATGGATCCCAGACTCAAATATAGAACATAAAGCTCTAAAATTTTTGAAAAAAAATTACAAGGACATCTTTGGAATCTAGGGCTTTGCCGAGTTTTTAGACTTGACATTGACACTATGATTCATAAAAGGATAATTTGTACTTCACCAAAGTTAAAAACTTTTGCTTTACAAAAGACCCTATTAAAAGAATAAAAAGAAAAGCTACAGATTAGGAGAAAACATGTGCAAACCACATATCCAACAAAGGATTAGTATCTAGAATATATAAAGAACTCTCAGAACTCAACAGTAAAAACAACAAAAGCAAACAATCCAATTAGAAAATCGCCATAAGACATGATGAAACACCTCATCCAAGAGGATTTACAGATATCAAATAAGCACATGAAAAGATATTCAACATCACTAGCCATTAGGGAAATGCACATTAAAACCACAATAAGATAATCACTACTATCTTTCAAAATAACTAAAATTAAAAAAAGTCACACCACCAAATGCTGATGAGGATGTGGAGAAACTATTATCACTCATACATTGGTGGTAGAATATAATATGACATAGAGATTCTGGAAAAGAGTTCAGCAGTTTTTACTACAAAACTCAAAACTAAACTTGCCACTACCATATGACCCAGCAATTACACTCTTGGGAATTTATCCTGGAGAAATGAAGATTTATGTTCACATAAAAACCTGTATACAAATGTCTACAGCATTTATTCATAATAGCCCAAAACTGAAAACAATTTAGATATCCTTCAACATGAGAATCTTTTAACACACTATGGCACATCTGTATCATGGAATATTATTCAACCATTAACCTAAGCAAACTACTGATATACATGATAACCTGGATGAATCTCCAGAAAATTATGTGGAGTGAAAAAAGCCAATCCCAAAAGGTTATATACAGTATGAACTGATTTATACATCATTCTTGAAATAACAAAATTATAGAAATGAAGAACAGCTTAGTGGTTTCCAGGGGCTTAGGAGGGGCTGAACGGGGAGGGAACTGTGTACATCTATAAAATGGCAATATGAGTAAGATGCTCTGTATCTGACTGCATCAATGTCAATATTCTGGTTGTCTTGTTGTACTATAGTTTTTTCAGGATATTACCCATCAAGAAAACTGGATAAAGTGTACATGGAATCTCTGTACATATTTTTTACAACTGCATGTGACTCTATAATTATCTCAAAATAAAAAGTTAGAAAAATATATTTATAGGGGCATCTGGCTGGCTCAGTCCATGAAGTGTGAGGCTTTGGATCTTGGGGTTATGAGTTTGAGCCCTATTCTGGGCATAGAGCTTACATTAAACAAACAACAAAAAACATGCACGCACACACACACACACACACACACAAACATGAATGTGTGTGTGTATCCCCCAAACTTGAAGAATGTATTTTTTAAAAGTTTGCTAGATAATTATGATATTCATCCAGATTTGAGAACCATTATACAAAAGTATCTCCCATTTTTTTGTATACTGAATCAATAGTTACATCTATGTTTATGAGTACATTCTCTGAAGAAAAGAGTAAGAATGATAGAATATGGAAAATTTTGCAATATACATATTTATTAATTATAAACTAAACAGAAATGCTTACTACTCTGGATTCTACACTGTAGATTCTTTCATATATAATTTAAAACAACAATGTAGCAACTTATTTTGGTATTACCATGAAACACCAGTGATTGTTTTCTATACATTTTATTTTTCTAGGAGAGAGAGAGAGAGAGAGAGCATGAGCAGGGGAGGGTCAGAGAGAGAGGGAGACACCGACTCTGAAACAGGCTCCAGGCTCTGAGCTGGCAGTCAGCACAGAGCCCAATGCGGGGCTCAAACCCATGAACCGCGACATCACGACCTAAGCGAAAGTCGGACGCTTAACGGACTAAGCCACCCAGGCGCCCCTCTATATGTTTTTTGAGTAATTAATTTATTTTTTGATAGAGAGAAAGCATGAGCTGGGGGAGGGGCAAAGCAAGAGGGAGAGAGGAATGTGAAGCAAGTTCTGAGCTGTCAGCACAGAGCCTGATGCGGGGCTCGAACCCACAAACAGTGAGCTCATGACCTGTGCTGAAATCAAGAGTCAGATGCTTACCCGACTGAGCCATCCCAGTTTTCTATACTTTTTTTTTTTAATTTATTTATTTATTTTGAGAGAGAGAAAGAGAGCAACTGTGCAAGCAGGGGAGGGTCAGATAGAGAGGGAGAAAGAGAATCCTAAGCAGGCTCTGTAATGTCAGAGTAGAGCTGGGTGCAGGACTCAATCCCATTAAACCTGAGCCAAAATAAAAAGTTGGATGCTCAGCCAACTGGGCCACCAAGGTGCCCCTTCCATACATTTTGAAATTGAACTGTTTAGGCCACATTTTTAAAATAGTGATATTTTAGTTTCAAGATAAAGAACAAATCAGAAATAAACTGTGTTATCAAAGATATCATGAGGAAATGCATTCTTACTTTTGTTTCTGCTGGTCAATCCAGAACTTACAGCTCTTTCTGACAAAGTCACAGCCCATTCCTCTGCCCCAGTCTAACTTCTCGGCCATGCTGTAATTAGCCTTATACCAACTGTGGAGATAAGTAAAACAAAGCATTTTTTATTTTTGTCATTTTAAAAATAACTCCAACGTGCCAATTACAAATCTCAGCAATGAGCAAACCAAGACCTCAAAACAAAGGAATATTTACAAAGCCATTGCTGCACAGGAACTGCTGCACAGATTCACAGTAGCAACGACTGGGAAACTTGTCTTCTGGTGAGGGTATTTCCATATTTGAAAAAAAACAAAACCAAAATGTGTTGTCACTGTAATTTCCAAAGATGACAGAAGTCACCAAGTAGAAAGTGGTAAAGGTGTGAAACAGAGGGATTAAGTGCCAAAGAAACAAAAAGAAAATGAGAGAAAAGAGAATAAACTCAGGAAGAAATAGATGAATTACTAATTTACCCAATTGATTTAGTTGGTCTTAGTTTCTTGCTTCTCTGGCCTTGATACTCTATCAATACAGGCTCTGTCTGTGACCAAAAATTACACTATTATGAGATATATGAATACTATGTCTAATACTTTATTTTTATTTTTTTTTTATGTCTAATACTTTAAAAAATTGTTCTAATTTCAGAAAAACAACCCACATTGACTTGATTCCTGGCAAATTTAATCAAAGGCAAGGAGCCTACTTAATAGTTTTTCTTCTTCATTCTTTTTTTTTAAGTTTATTTATTTTAAGAGAGAGGGAAAGAGTGCGCACAAGTGGGAGAGGGGCAGAGGGAAAGGGGGAGAGAGAATCCCAAGCAGTGATCACATCATCAGCACAGAGCTTGATTCAGGGCTCAAACTCACAAACCATGAGACCATGACCTGAGCCAAGACCAAGAGTCAGATTCTTAAACGAATGAGCCACCCAGGCACTCCTCTTCATTATTCTTAATAACAAAATTAGTTTACAAAAATTATAAAATTATACAAAACAGTTTCTTACCTTTTGTATTACATCTTGTCCCTTTAGCATTACCAAAACATTAAATAAAAACATAGGCTCGGGGCGCCTGGGTGGCTTAGTCAGTTAAGCGTCCGACTTTCGCTTAGGTCATGATCTCGCGGTTCATGGGTTCGAGCCCCGCGTCGGGCTCTGTGCTAACTGCCAGCTCAGAGCCTGGAGCCTATTTCAGAGTCTGTGTTTCCCTCTCTCTCTGACCCTCCCCTGCTCACGCTGTCTCTCTCTCTCTCCTAGAAATAAAAAAATATATATATTTAAAAAAAAAAAAACACAGGCTCAAAGGCTGGGGGAATGACAAGAATTATTCCCTCCATTCCAGCCACTTTCCCACAAAATCAAACAAAAATAGATATATGTGATATGGCATCTTCAAAACCTTCTCCTTTTTTCAAAGAACACAACTGCCTCAGAGAGAAACTGCTACCTCTGCAGCTACAACGTGACTTACGTTAATCAGCTAACTTGGTATCACAGCAGGTCAAGTTGTCCAGATAGTAACAGATGACCCCAGTATGGCACACTAGCAATTATTTTAGCAGTGCCTAGGTTAGGCAGTCCTTCTCCCTCTGAATAAAATATAAAGTAATTAGATTCCCTTGGGAATTACCATATCTAGTGTATGTTGAGTACAGAGCATAGCATTGGCCCTATGTTACTCTAAGAGCAGCAGGGCACTCCAGCTACATTTCTTAAACCTTCATGATACCTTCCTTGCTGCTCTTTCTAAACTATGAGCCAACAGTTATTAAGAACTTCTTAATGGTAGGCACTTTGTTTACTGATAAGGCTATACCACTGAATAAAAAGACATAGTTCTTGCACTCATGAAGATTATAATCTAGGGGGAAGACAGATATTTTATTTTTATTTTATTTTATTTTATGGGGGGAGGGGGGGCAGAGGGAGAGAGAATCTCAAAGCAGGCTCCATGCCCAGAGCAGAGCCCAATGTGGGGCCTAATCTCACAACTGTGAGATCATGACCTGAGCTGAAATTAAGAGTCAGATGCTTAACCGACTGAGCCACCCAGGTGCCCTGGAAGACAGATATTTTTTAAAAATTCCAACTGGGATGAGTGCCACAGAGGTTAAGTATAAGGTGCTAATAAATAGCAGCACATTAACAGGGAAATCTAAGTTAGTCTGGGAAATCAGGGAAGATTTGCTTGAGGAAACAACTTTAAGCTAAACCCAAGGATGAGCACACGTTAGCTGAGGGAGCAGGGGAAGCACTAGAAACAGTTTCTTAGTGGCAATAGAGGGTTGTGAAATCAATTTACTGTACCTTAACATTTCTTTCAAAATTAACAGAATAGAAAAAAAAGGACTGCACTGTTGGTAGTAGAGTAAATATTATTCCATAAACTTTGGTTCAGTTTTGTATATAATAGTTAATGCCTTAGTTGGCACTTACGGTGTGTCAAACATTAATTATACTAAGGACTTGACATATCAAACTCATTAAAGCCTCACAAAACTCTGTGAGGTAGTTAACACTTTTCATCCTTATTTTATAGATGAAAGAACTGAGGGAAAGATACAGCAAGTGAGTGGCAAAAAAAAAAAATGGGATTTGAATCTAGGGTTCTGGCTTCAGTGTCAGTGTGCTTTATAAAAAAAACTGTGGCACAATTTATATCTTATAAAATTCACCCTTATAATTTGTATCATTCAGTCTTTTCAGTATATATTCAGGGTTGTACATCAATTACCACTATAGGCATACCTCATTTGATTGCATTCCACTTTATTGCACTTTGCAGATACTGCCATTTTTTTGTTACAAATTGAAGGTTTGTGGCAACTTTGTATTAAGCAAGTCTATTAGTACCATTTTTCCAATAGGATTGCTAACTTGATGTCTTTGTGTCACACTTTAATTCTCACGATATTTCAAACTTTTCATTATATTTTTAATAGTGATCTGTGATCAGTGTTTTTTCATGTTACTACTGTAATTGTTTTAGGGTGCCAGATACCACACCCATATATATGGAAAGAATAAATACTGTATGTATTCTGACTGCTCCACTGACTGTTCCCCTCTTTCCCTTTTCTCAGGCCTCCTTATTCCCCATTCCCTGAGACCCAACATGTGTTAGACAGTTAGTTGGCCAAGCTGTGAATGCAAAGGAAAAGTTCTTGAAGGAAATGAAAAGCGATGGTTCAATGAATACACAAATGATAAAGTGAAACAGCCTTATTGCTGATAATGGAGATAGTCTGAGTAGTCTGCAAAGAAGATCAAACCAGCCCAATATTCCCTTAAGCCAAAGCCTAATCCAGAGCAAGGCCCTAACTCTCTTCAATTCTGTGAAGGCTGAGAAAGTTGAGAAAGCTGCAGAAGAAAAACTGGAAGCTAGCAAAAGTTGGTTCATGAGTTTTAAGGAAAGAAGCAGTCTCTAAAACATAAAAGTATAAGGTGAAGCAGCAGGTGCTGATGTAGAAGCTGCAGCAAGTTATCCAGAAGATCTAGTTCAGGTAACTCATGGAAGTGGGTACACTAAACAACAGATTTTCAATGTAGATTAGACAGCCTTCTACTGGAAGAAGATGTCATCTAGGACTTTCATAGCTAGAGAGAGAAGTCAATGCCTGGCCTTCTGAGGACAGGCTCTCTTATTAGGGGCTGATGAAGCCGGTGACCTGAAATTGAGAGGTAAATGAAGTGCTCATTTACCATTCTGAAAATCCTCCAGCCGTTAAGAGTTACACCCAACTTTCTCTGTCTGTGCTCTGTAAATTGAACAACAAAGCCTGGATGACAACACATCTCTTTGCAACATGGTTTACTGAATATTTTAAGCCCACTGTTGTGATTACTGTTCAGAAAAAAAAAAGATTCCTTTTGAAATATTACTGCTCATCGTCAGTGCACCTGGTCACCCAAGAGCTCTGATGGAAATGGACAACGGGATTCATGTTGTTTTCATACCTGCTAACCCAGCATCCGTTCTGCAGCCCCCAGAGCAAGGAGTAATTTTGACTTGGGGTCTTATTATGTAAGGAATATACTTCATAAGGCTGCCACAGATGGTGATTCCTCTGATGGATCTGAGCAAAATAAGCTGAAAACCATTTGGCAAGGATTCACCATTCTAGATGCCATTAAGAACATTTGTGAGTCATGGGAAGAGGTCAAAATAGCAACATTAACAGGAGTCTGCAAGAAGTTGATTGCAACCCTCATGGATGACTTTGAGGGGCTCAAGACTCCAGTGGAGGAAGTAACTGCAGATGAGGTAGAAATAGCAAGAGAACTAGAAATGGAGCCTGAAGATGTGACTGATTGCTGCAACCTCTTGATATAACTTGAATGGATGAGAAAGAAGTTGCTTTTTATGCATGAGCAAAAATAGTGGTTCCTTGAGATGGAAAGTACTCCTGGTGAAGACGTTAAAATGACAGTAAAGGATTTAGAATATTACCTAAACTTAGTTGAGGAAGAGCAGCAGGGTTTGAGAAGATTGACTTCAATTCTGAAAGAAGTGCTACTTGTAGCACTTGTAGTTCTACTGCTTTTTATTTATTTTTTTAAAGTTATTTATCTTGAGACAGAGCGAGAGAGAGAGATAAGGGCAGAGAGGAGAAAAAGAGAATCCCAATCAGACTCTGAACGCCAGTGCAGAGCCCAATGAACTGTGAGATCATGATCTGTGCCGAAGTCAGATGCTTAACCAACTGAGCCTCCCAGGCGCCCCAAAACACTATTTTTAAATTAAGGTATCTACATCGTGAAATACCTGGCTGGCTCAGCAAGTAGAGCATGCATCTCTTGATCCTGGTGTCATGAATTCAAGCCCCATGTTGGGTGTAAAGATAACTTGAAATGAAATGGTATGTACATTGCTTTTTAATTTTTTTAAATTTTATTTTTGAAAGAGAGAGACAGAGAGACACAGAGAGATAGAGCATGAGTAGCGGAGGGGCAGAGAGAGAGAGGGAGACACAGAATCTGAAGCAGGCTCCAGGCTGTCAGCATAGAGCCCAACATGGGACTCGAACTCACGAACCATGAGATCATGACCTGAGCTGAAGTCAAACACTTAACCAATTGAGCTGCCCAGTAGCCCCAGTATGCACATTGTTTTTATTAGACATAATGCTACTGTGCACTGAACGGAGTATGGTATAGTGTAAACATAACTTTTATATGCACTGGGAAACAAAAAAATTCATTTGACTTCCTTTATTGCAGTGGTCTGGAGCCAAACCTGATATTTCTCTAAGGAATACCTATAACTAATTTTAGAACATTTCCATCATCCCTCAAAAACTATGTCCCTGGGGCGCCTGGGTGGCTCAGTCAGTTAAGCATCTGACTCTTGATTTTGGCTCAGGTCATGATGGATGTGAGAGGTGGGGAGAAGGAGTATTCAAGGATGATTCTCAGGTTTCTGGATGGATAAATAATGGTGGTTTTTTTTTTTTACTGATAGAAACAACTTAGTTAATCTACAATGAAGTCTTTGATAAATACTAAAAAAATTGATAAAAATTAATTTCTATGTCTTTAACTTTAAATATTGCCAGATATTTAAAAACATCTGGCCCATTTTATTATTGTGTTGCCCCAGAAAAAGAAAAAGTACTATAAAGTTGCCAGTACCATGATTTCACCAGTAACTCACACACTCCACAGTGTTTCTGTAACTTATGGGTGTCTTAATGAAATTAGCACTTTTAACAAAAGGGCGATAAATAAGTTCTTTTTTTTTTTTAAATGTTTTATTTATTTCTAGGAGAGATAGAGAGACAGCGTGAGCAGGGGAGGGTCAGAGAGAGAGGGAGTCACAGACTGAAACAGGCTCCAGGCTCTGAGCTGGCAGTCAGCACAGAGCCCGACGCGGGGCTCGAACCCACGAACCGCGAGATCATGACCTAAGCGAAAGTCGGACGCCTAACCGACTAAGCCACCCAGGCGCCCCATAAATAAGTTCTTAAACAGAGCAGCAGGACCACTTCTGCTGGCCATTGCTTGTTCAAGGATAAATGGGAAAGAGTTATAATGATACTAAAAGAAATCCAGTCTTTTCTTTTTTCTTTTCAAAAATATGAATTTCCCAACTTGGTCCACTAAAAGCTAAGAGAAGCAACGATAACCTAGTAGCAATGAACAATGAACACAGTGCCTAGGCTGTGGTTTCTAAAAGCTATTCCCCCATTAAATGGAATCAGTGCTCCTTGCAAGATTGGCTGATGCCCACATCCAGGATAGGATATATGCTTATTAGCCTGGCACATCCTGCTATGCCAAAAAAAGGAAAGAAGGAAGGAAGCTATCAAAAAGTAATGAGACTTGGGGCACCTGGTTAAGTGTTCCACTCTTAATTTCAGCTCAGCTCATAATCTCATGGGTCGTGCTAATAGCACGGAGCCTGCCTGGTATTCTCTCTCTCTTCCTCTCTCTCTGCCCATCCCTCATTTGCGCTCTTTCTCAAAATAAACAAACATAAAACATAAAAAATAAAAACACTAATGAGTCTTGCCAAAAGGACTCAGGAACCCACAGAGACAAAGACTCCAACGGGAGTCACTTTAAAAACAGTATTCTGGGGCGCCTGGGTGGCTCAGTGGGTTGAGGGTCTGACTCTTGATTTCAGCTCAGGTCATGATCTCATGGTTTGTGGGACTGAACTCCACATTGAACTCTGCGCTGACAGCACCAAACCTGCTTGAGATTCTTTCTCACCCTCTCTCTCTGCCCCTCCTCAACTCTCACACATGCACTTATGTGCTCTCTCTCAAAATAAATAAACTTTAAACACTAGGAATCTATACATTATCAATTTCATTTATAATTTTAAAAACTTGTTTAGATTAGTCTTTCCTTTATATAAGCATGGCCTCTAGTTATTAGAAAATAAATCTCATAATGCCTGGAATTCTGTCCTATTCATTACTATACCTCAGGGCCTCATTTATTGAATAAATAAATGGAATTGGTATAGGTCATTATAGCTAACTACATAAAATTCAAAAACTATTTTACTTCAATGCAAAATGTATTAAAATTTTTTTTTAATGTTTATTTATTTTTGAGAGAGACAGAGAGACAGAATCCAAAGCAGGCTCCAGGCTCTGAGCTGTCAGCGTAGAGCCCAATGTGGGGCTCAAACTCACAGACCAAGAGATCATGGCCTGAGCTGAAGTCGGTTGCTTAACTGACTGAGCCACTCAGGTGCCTCTAAAGTGTATTTTCTTAAGCTGATATTAGTTTCATATAACATTCTTACAGCTGTCTTACCCAGTATCCTCCATTAATGCCAGAGTGATTCGAGAGAAGACTCGGTTCTGGGTGTGAGAACCAGTCATTGCTTCATTCTGAAAATCAAAAGATTTTAAATTAGAAGGCCAGATGTCTTGAAATTCCCAATAACTTCCATGAATCCTTGATGTATATGTAAAACGTCTCAAGTGTGAAAGGCTCACTTATTCACTTTAAAGTAGTGAGATAAGCCTTCCTTAAAATGATAAGACTTAAGCTTAAAGCAAAATCTGCTTTCTGCGTTAAATGACTATATTATGTGCAATTTCCCAGAAATGGCAGACAACCAGCATTTAGAACTCTGATGAATATGAAAATAAATATATAAAAGAGAAATACTATAAAAATATTATAATATCTAGACAAAGTAAAGTAAGTGGTTGAGACAGATGTTCACAGAATATTAGAGGGGGTGGATATTGGCCTGAACTACAAAAAAAAACAAAAAAAAAAGGCTTTTATAACCTTCAACCTTATGATCACAGAAATATCCATGAATATACAAAACAAGTATAAGAATCGTCAAAGGAGTTGCATGAGGGACCAAAAATGCCATCAAAGTCTACTATCTACCCAGTGTTTTAATTCATATCATATAATTCTTACAGCAGCCCTGATTATTCTTCATATCCTTATGTTGAATACTGGGTGGTCACTTCAAGTACTTTAATACCACTAAAGAAAATAGTTCAAGGACACAAAGTTGATTTCAGAGAAAGGCAGCCAGTAATGAAATTAATACTCTCAAGTCTCTACTGCAAAAGTAAATACATTTTCATGTCTGGTCAATCTACAGTTTTCTTAAGGGAATCACTTGGGAAACCTGCTTAAGGAAAATAAAAGAACTAAAATTTCCATGGAAGAAACAAGCATAATATGTCTTCCATAAGTTCCCGTCACTATTACTTTGTGGTCACCTGGAAAAGAATAGTTAGCACAAGCGTTAATTTCATTCTTTTGTAATTTTGCTAACTTGGGTCATGATGTATATAAGCTCAAAAAAATACACACACACACATACTCTTTGAGCTAGAAATTCCATTTCAAGGGATTTATGTTTTCTCTTTTTTAAAAAAAATTCTTTTAATGTTTATTTTTGAGAGAGAGACAGAGCACGAGCAAGGGAGAGGCAGACAGAGAGGGGGACACAGAATTGGAGGCAGGCTCGAGGCTCAGCTGTCAGCACAGAGCCTGACGTGGGGCCCAAACTCATGAACCACACAATCATGACCTGAGCCAAAGCTGGACACTTAACAAACTGAGCCACGCAGGCACCCCTATCTTTTCTCTTTCTATATGAACACATCTGACCTTGAGTTAAGTTCCTAGTTCTGCTCCCCTGGAAACCTAATAAAGGTGGAATGTCAACTGTGTCACCAGGCAACAGTGGCCCATGCCTCAGGACATCACAGTGCCTCTGGACTTGTTAAATGAACATGAATATCTGTTAGTAAGCCATAATTTAGAACGTTCCTATGTGCACTGATTCTTATGGGAATGCACTTACAGACATTGAGAAGTTATGTCTATGGAACTGTTAAAAATAAATATATTAGTCTTTATTTGGGACACAGTACTTCTATAAGCCAGGCTGGTTCTTTTGCCCCACCCCCACCCCCCCAGTATGGCTTTCTGCTCCTATATTTGAGCTGGAGTGCACAGGGAGAGAGGCATGAATGACAGCCCCTAGACTGTTGTGTGGAGCACAAAAGAAAAGCCTGACTTCTGCCATGCTGGCATGCTGTGTATTCTGTCTTGTATCCTTCCACGTAAGTATTTTTTAAATGCAGCCTGTTAGGTCTTGTGAGTTTGAATGCATGTCTGCTTGAACCTAAGAATACCCACTGGTATGCCATTACTGAAAGGTATCACAGATATAAATAAAGTGCTCATCACAACATTATTAAAATAAAAAATTTTAAGGTGGGCTGGCTGGCTCAGTTGGTAAACATGTGACCCTTGATGTTGGCATTATAAGTTCAAGCCCCACATTGGGTGTGGAGATTACTTAAAAATAAAATCTTAGGGGCGCCTGGGTGGCTTAGTCGGTTAGGCGTCCGACTTTCGCTTAGGTCATGATCTCGCAGTTCGTGGGTTCGAGCCCCGCGTCGGGCTCTGTGCTGACTGCCAGCTCAGAGCCTGGAGCCTGTTTCGGTCTGTGACTCCCTCTCTCTCTGACCCTCCCCTGCTCACGCTGTCTCTCTCTCTCTCCCAGAAATAAATAAAAAACATTAAAAAATAAAATAAAATGCAAAAACTTTAAAAAAAATAAATAAAATCTTAAAAAATAAAAAAATTTAAAATACAGTTGTTCATTAACACAGGACTGTTGTTACATTCATATAACAAATAATGTTGGCTTATATGACTTATCCCTGGATTTTAATATTTTGTGCAATGGAGCAATAGCAGCTAAATATAAAGTACACTAAGACAGCTGAACACAGCAACAGAGGAATGCTGTGCATGGTACCCATTTACTCCATGTTCTTCTACTTGGTTCAATATGGCCAGGGGCTCTTAGAAGTGCTTATTACATGATTCTAATTTTGTACATTTTGTTCTTGTCCCCATTCCTCAATTTAGTCTCTGTTTCAACTACAGAGACAACTAGTCTCTGTTTCTGCTTTTTGTTGTTAAGATAAAGAAATATTAGAGTAAATAAAGGAGTTTATTTACTGGAAATATGTTTAAAATTGAGCTGGCACTTAATTGTGACTTGCTGTTTTTGTTAGTAGTATGATATTTGTTTTTCCCACGAGTCTTATTTTTAGTATTCAATTTTGAAGAGGCTTTTTAGGAAAGCATACATTGCATTACAGCAGGAGCACCTGTAATGCTTGGAAAAATGTCTAAGATATATTATTAAGTGGAAAATAGTTTATTAACGTATGAATTCATTTAAAGAAAAACCTGTGTGTTAATGTGTGCATTTCTACATATACATAACATTTCTGGAAGGATATACAAAAAACTTAAATAGTGATCACATCTAGGGCCACCTGGGTGGCTCAATCGGTTGAGCATCAGATTTCAGTTCAGGTCACAATCTTGTGGTTCATGAGTTCAAGCCCCACATCAGGCTCCCTGCTGTCAGTGCAGAGCCTGCTTCATATCCTCTATGTCCCTCTCTCTCTGCCCCTCTCTCACTTGTGTTCTCTCAAAAATAAACATTTAAAAAAACAGTGATTACATCTAAAAAGTGGGTCTGGAGAACTGAAGGGGAAAAGGAACTTTAAGTTACCAAATGTTTTTAGGTTTACATAGGGTTCGCCTTAAGGGAAGTAAGTTGAAAAGAGGGGGAAGATTTATTTTAGTGCCTGGTATAAAAACGCAGGAGTTTTAAAAAGAGGCAAGGAGTTAACATAACAAAAACAACCCAAGGAGGTCAGTTAACATTCATTCTAGTTCACTACTGATTAGAATTTATTAATGAGAAAAAAAAAAAAAAAAGAAGAATTTATTAATGAGAAACTGCTTGTTAAGAGAAAAAAGGGGTTCCTGGGGAGCTCAGTCAGTTAAGGGATTGACTCTTGATTCTGGCTCAGTTCATGATCCCACAGTTCATGAGATAGAGACCTGAGTTGGACTCTGTGCTGACACTGCAGAGCCTCCTTGGGATTCTCTCTCCGTCTCTGCCCTTCCCCAGGCTACATGTGCACACGCTCTCTCTCAATCTCTGTCTCTCTCTCTCAAAAATAAAACATAAACATAAAAAAGTTACTTTTATCAAAAAAGAATCACTTTTATTAAAGAAAAAGTGTCTAGTAAAATTAAAAAATAAACTGACCTCTAATAACCGCTTTTCCCAATGGTTGAGCTCAGTCCCCATACCACCTTGATTTTCCAGTTCCATTCCCTCCAGAATTGGACAGTTAAAATGTTTTCGTGCTTCATCCTAAGAGTGAGAAAAAAAAAAATAAGCCCTACAAAAGTACAGTATAATAACGGCAGTCTTTATCTAACAGATATATGATAAAGTAGCCATTAAAGAATTACTTTGGAGAGAAGTGAAAACATCTTTTAAAAATATGGTTTTTAATATAATTAAATAATATATTTTGATACTATTATACTCCTTTGCTAGTAAATTCTCTTAATAATTTTCCTCTATTTGAAGATTTTGATTTTAAGTCACATATATTTCAAAAAAAACTATAGACTGACATGATTGCTATTCGTAACGATTATGTCAACAATGTTTTTAATGAGGGATTGAATCCACTGCTCTTGTTAATAGATAATGTCTTTGAAGAAAAATAAGTTCTTCATTAAAATACAATTTTGCTCACTTGGTTTTTCCTGTCCTTTAGGTAGAAATTTCCAGTGATAGGGAATATCCTAAGAAAATGCAAAACTCCAGAAGGCAGGGGCACCTAGCTGGCTCAGTCAGTAGAGCATGCGAATTTGATTCTGGGGTTATGAATTTGAGCCCCCTGCTGGGGATATCGTTTATTTAAAAAATAAGAGGGTGGAATGGTTAATTTTATTAATTAAATGGTTAATTTAATAATGATTAAATGGGAAATTAATTAGTGGTTAGTTTTATTAACCATTGGCGTGGCTAGGCCACAGTGCCCAGATATTTGGTCAAACATTATTCTGAATGTTTCAGTAAGGGTGTTTTTGGATGAGATTAACATTTAAATTAGTGGACTTTTAAGTAAAGCAGATTACTCTCCATAATATAGACAGGACTCATCCAATCAATTGAAGGCCTTAATAGAACAAAGACTGACTTTGCCAGAATAAGAAGGAATTCTGCCAGCTTAATGTCCTTGGACTCAAAATGCAACTCTTTCCTGAGGGTCCAGCCTGATAGCCTACCCCATCAGTTTGGAATCTCCAAACCTCCAGGAGTGCATGAGCCATTTTCTTCAAATAAATTTCCTTCCCACCCTCTCATTTATAGCCCTCTCTCTTAGCTAACACGTTTTGTTGGTTCTATTTCTCTGCACAACTTTGACTAATACAGACTACGCAATGAAATAATCAGCAATTATGCAAAAAGTATCAGTGATCCTAAGTGGTATCATAGTAGAGGGGCATTGGCTTAAAGCAGTAAGCAGAATGGAGCCATGAGAGTTATTGACAAATTTCCATTTCTTCAGATTTTCTTGACTTGTAGCTTTACTGTACTGCCTTTATATTAGTTTCCTTATTACAGGCTCTGAAATTTACTTTTAAGTTCTTAAGCAATAATGATTAGTAAAGAAAAGACCGTAAGAAAGGAAAAGAGTAGAAGGTTCACGAAACATGAAGAAGTAGGGGAATACATACGACAACACGAGGTGTGACTAGAAGATACACAGTGTGAGGAACTATCTTATTATCTCGAACATTCCATAATCTCTCCACTTTTCGAACTACTTTATCACTCCACTGATATAATCCAAGACTGCAATTAAAGAATAGAAGGCAGTCATTTTGCAAATTCATGACAGCTTTAAGTAGTAAAAGTGTTTATGAACATCAATATGTAATTAAAATATTTGAGTTTACTATGTACCAAATCCTGCAATGTACTTGACAACATTTTCTAATCTTTTCAACAACCTTATGAGATTATCATCACTATTGAATAGATAAAGATAGAAGGGTAGAGACATGAAGTAACTTGTTCAAGTTCACAAAGCTAATTCTTGGCTCAGATGATGATGAATTACTCCCTTTTAACAAATTTATTGGATGAAACAAAAGCAAGTCCAGAGACATATCCAAGCATATAAGGAAACTTAACAACAACAAAACATGCCATTTTTTTAAAAAATGGCATTTTAATTTGGTGGGAAAGTACAATTTACTTAATAACTGTGATGTAAAACTGGTTATCCATCTAGAAAAAAAGTTAAATCCCTATTTCATCCCATATACAGAAATAAATTCAGAGAAGATGTCAGCAAAAATGGCAAACCTCTGAAAATTCTCCATTCTTGAAAGCAATGAGAAAAGTGGCAAAATGCTTAATCAACTTTTTCAGAACTTTGGAAATTAACAAAGGCTTTCAGTAATCCAGGAATCATTAAAAGGAAAAAAAAGGATAGGGGTATCTAGGTGGCTCAGTCAGTCAAGCACCCAGCTCTTATTTCGGCTTAGGTCATGATCATGAGATCGAGCTCCTCACTACTAGTGTGGAGCCTGCTTGGGATTCTCTCTCTCCCTCTCTCTCTGCCCCTCTCCTGCTCTTGCATACACATTTTCTACCTCTCAAAATAAATAAACTTAAAAAAAAACTTTAAAAAATAGAAAAATCTCAGTAAGAATAGCAAGCTTTGTGGCATCTTCCCATGCCCTGGCAGTCCTGAAAACTAACAGCCCATGATCATAGTAAAAACCAGCAAACCTGGCAGCCACTATAGAGGTGGTAGAACGGGGATGACTGGAAGAACACATTAAAAACAACCCCCATAATCCAACTCTGTTTACAAGAAACACAGTTCAGACTCAAGAACACAAATAGGTTGAATGTAAAAGAATTAAACAGATAATACCATGCAAACAGTACTTAAAAGAAAACTGGAACGGCTATACTAGTATTAGACAAAATAGACTTTCAAACAAAAATAGTTAGTAGAAACAAAGAAGGACATTCTATAATGATGAAAGAGTCAATCCACCAAAAAGATATAATAGTTATAAACATATATACCTTACAAAAGAATTCCAAAATACACGAAGCAAAAATAAATTCCAAATGAATGAAAGTTATGAATGTAAAAAAATGAAATAATTTACTAGAAGACAGAAGACTATTTTTATAATCATTGGAAGGCAGAAATTTCTCAAGCAACAGGAGAAAAAAATAGATGAATCATTAGAAAAGGAAAAATAACCCCGGAGTGGACAAAAGACATAAATAGGGTGTATACAAGTACATAGAAAACTCAAATGGCTGAAACCTCAGTAGTAGTCCTAGAAATACAAGATACCATCTTTTGCTCTCAGATTGGCCTTAAAGAAAAGGATCTATAATATCCACTATTGGTAAGGTAAGCATGTATATGTCATTGGTGGGATATAATGACATCATTTATAATGGACATCAATTTTGATTTTTCCCCATAATCCATATCATTGTTTTTCTGGCTTCCCCCCCACCCCACCCAGATTACCTCTATTATCAATCCTATGAATCTCTCATTTTCATCAATAAAATAGAATATAAAGAGTCTATCTTTGTCCCACTATCATTTTATGAAAATTTTAAACATACAAAATGTTGACAGAATTGCAAACAGCATACCTAAATATCTAATAACCTTCACTTTGATTCTACAATTAATATTTTGTTATATTTGTGTATATGTATGGCATGTATATATGTATATGTATATATATATACACACACATATATATATATGCCATATATCTGTTCATCTACCCATGTCTTGAAGATGCTATTCTTAATTCCTTTTATCTTTTTCCATAGCAAAGTGATGTTTAAACATCCATAGTGATCAAAGCTGGCAAGAAAATAAACAGCTTTTACCTTATTAATAACTCCCAATATCCTCTTCATCTACATCTCAAGACAAATAGTTTCTTCAAATAAATAGGTTAGGGACAAATCCAACTCTTCATATGTCTATCAACTGAGTTTCCTATTATTCTATTATCTCCAATCATACTGTAAGATTTCCTGCTTTTGAGGAATATCCTGAATGCAAGAAAAGTACTGCAAATTATCAGCTTAACAATAGTTTTTTAAAAATATTTATTTATTTATTTATTGAGAGAGAGGGAGGGGGGAGGGGGGAGGGTAGAAAGGAGGGAGAGAGAGAAAGAGGGAGGCAGAGAGAGGAAGAGAAGGAGGGAGGGCAAGCAGGACCATGAATGAGGAAGGGAGGGAGAGAGAGAATCCCAAGCAGGTCCCACACACAGTGCAGAGCCCAACACGGGGCTCAATCTCACAACTGTGAGATGATGACCTCAGCTGAAATCAAGAGTAGGACACTTAACCCATTGAGCTATGCAGGCGCCTCTTAACAAAAGTTCTTTTTTTTTTCTAAATTTTTAATGTTTATTTTTGAGAGACAGAGAAAGAGTAGGAGCAGGGGAAGAGCTGAGGGAGAGAAGGAGACACAGAATCCAAAGCAGGCTCCAGGATCCGAGCTATCAGCACAGAGGCTGATGTGGGGCTCAAACCCATAGACTGTGAGATCATGACCTGAGCTGAAGTCAGACGCTTAACCAACCCAGGTGCCCCTTAACAAAAATTCTTATGCGTGGGTATCTCTTTCTTTCTTACCTCCATCACTATGTACGTGATGCCTATCTCACCATTTATGTTTCCCATAAAGACCACAATTCTTAGGAAAGACCAGATTCCTCCTATACCACCAAATGAACACAAACTATTTAAGAAGGAAAATATCTATGTCCAGTTAGAATTTGTTTCCTCACATGCACTCTAAAAAATATAATGAATAAAGTATTATCTGCTTCAATATTTAATTCTAGCTATTTTAATAGAGATCTCTGTAATTAAAGTAAAATATATATAAAGTAAACAAATTTTAAGTATAAGGATTAATTTTTTTGAGGGAGGGAGGGAGAGGGGGAGAGAGAGAGACAGACAGACAGACAGACAGACAGACAGGCAGGCAAGGGAGAGGGTGGGGGAATCCCAAGCAGGCTCCACGCTGTCAGCACAGAGCCCAATGCGGGACTAGCTCACAAACCTCAAGATCATGTCCTAAGCTGAAACCAAGAGTCAGCCACTTAACCAACTGAGCCACCCAGGTGCTCCAGGATTAATTAATTTTTAATTCCATATCCAAATACCACTAATCTGATAAAGATATGGAACAATGTCAGCACCCATGGAAGGTTTTCTTGTGACTCTTCACAATCTATACTCAACTTGTAGGCCATTTAACAGCCTGGTCCTTTAAGTAAAACCACTCATCTGTCTTTTATCATTGTTCTTTTTTAAACTCTATACAAATGGACCGTCTTTTGCTCAACATTATATCTGTGATATTCTTATATGTTATTGCATGTAACAACAGTATATTCTTTTTTATTGCGTTGTAGTTTTAGTGCCTTTTTTAGTGCCTTGTAGTTCAATTATATGAATATAATATATCATAATTTATTTATTCATTCTATTATAGATGGATATTTGGGTTGTTTCCTTTCTTTGGCTATTAATAACAAAACTGCCATGAACATTCTTTTTTTTTTTTTTAAATAGTTTATTGTCAAATTAGTTTCCACATAACACCCAGTGCTCATCCCCACAAGTGTCCTCCTCAATGCCCATCCCCCCTCCCCCCTCCACATCCATCAGTCCTCAGTTTTTGTCAGCATTCAAGAGTCTCTCATGGTTTGCCTCTCTCCCTTTCCCCAACCATTTCCCCCCTTCTTCTCTCCCTTGTTCCTCAGTTAAGTTCTTCCTAATCCTCCTATACATGAAAACATATGGTATTTGTCCTTCTCTGCCTGACTTATTTCGCTCAGCATAACACCCTCAAGGTCCATCCATGTTGCTACACATGCCATGAACATTCTTATGCTTATCTTTTTGTGGACATATGCTCTTAATTTAGAGATTTATATTTTACATAAATATATGCAAATGGTTACAGCTCTGCAATTGATACACCATAAAAAATTCTTAATACATACTTTTAATGTTTCTTAGTATTATTCATTTTAGGCCCTAACCCTCTAGATCACTGCTAATACGTTGTACTAAATACACTATCAGTTCAAATGTAAATATTGCCATGATAGGTGATAATTATTAAGAAACCAAAATACAGAGGTGCCTGGATAGCTCAATCAGTTAAACTTCCGACTTTGGCTCAGTTCATGATCTTACAGTTTGTGAGCTCGAGTCCCAAGTCGAGCTCTGTGCTGACAGCTTAGAACCTGGAACCTGCTTCAGATTCTGTGCCTCCCTGTCTCTCTCTCTCTCTCTGCCCTTCCCCACTTACACTGTCTCTCTCTCTCTCAAAAATAAATAAACACAAACAAACAAACCAAAATATAACCAACCCATATTCTCCCATGGCCTGACTGTACTGTACAGCAATACAAGTTACAATGTAGTGGAAAAGAGCTCTGCTGGCAAGAAGATTCCTGGCTCTTTGGGCAAGCACTTAAGTTTTCTGCATCTTAACTGCTTCATTTCTAAAATGAAAAGGTAAAGCTAAATAGCCTCTTTTATCCTGTTTCAATAGCTATGGCTTTTTTAGGTTAGCATGAAGCCACTATTATTTACAGCAACTATCATGCCATGAGTTTTAGACTCTAGTCTTAGCACCCTCCTAAAAGAAAAGAACAAGAACAAAAAATAATAACAAATACCTATAATTAAAAGGTGGGAGACCATCTGCAAATCTTGAAGTTAGAGGATTTCCATCTTTATCATGGTAGAATGCAAATAGGCCAGCAGAGAAACCCTTTAAAAAAAAAGTTCAAAATGTCTCACTAAAAAATATCTGATTATATACATCATAAAATGGTGCTATCAAAAGAGAACACTCATATAACCTCATAAAAGCACCCAGCCAATACTTCTACTACTAAAATTTGTCACATATTGGAACTGGACAAAAATTAAGTATTCTGTTTTATGAATTTTAAATTTCAATTACTTGAAATAATTTTAGGAAAGAAATCCAAAGTAATAGTGACAACATTCCTTGGTACCGGCATAAATAAGAAATTTGTTTAAGAATGTATTTATCATGGTTGATTCTCTTCACATGAACTTATTACATAAACTCTACAATTGCATCTAGGATATCTTACCACCGAGAACAACTGACAATACAGTTTAGAGTAGGGGGTAGGCAATCAAGTGTGCTCCCTACGAGCTCTCAAAAAATTCAGACTTTGATCCGAAAGTACACACCTAATATATGTCTGTACTTAAAAAGACTGGAAATGTATGTGCATATGTGTGTGTGTACACTTAAGAAAAAATAATATATATCATATATCATATGATATTTTGAAACATATATCAAAATGTTAGCTGTGGTTCTTCTGATGGTAGCGTAATGTGTAAAAGCACTCCTATTTGCCTAATTGCTTTACAATATGAATTTATTACGTTTATAGTCACAATTTAAATACTACTTTTTTTCAGAACCACTAATTAAACATTTCCTGTATGTTCAAGGCACTTAAAGAGTTTATAATGCTGTTAATAAATGATGCTAAAGCATTATGCCTTGGGATTAAAAACAAATACATTTTATATATACATGTCAAGACTGGAAATTTCCTTCAATTATTTTATTCTTTACAATATATATAAATAAGTAAAACAATTCAACTTATAAAGCATCACAACATTCAAGAAGAAGGTATTTCTATCAATCATTCTAAATTACTGGATTAAATACTTTTTCTAAGTCTTCAATTTTAATGAGATAATGGATACTTCACATAAAGGCATTAAAATTCCTATTCTCTCTCCTTTCCCTTCCAAAAGAGATAAGAAAATAGGCAAAAAAAAAAAATTGCCATTTGATATCTATTTCATTAGTGAGATTTCCTTTCTTGCTGTTTTTCCTAATCTGGTACCTAAAACAAAACACTTTTGTGATTATTTTTGTATGTTTTATACATTGAGAATATGCTATAGCTCATATCTAAATAACTAACAATCACGAACGATCACTTAATTAATCAATTTCTTTAGCAGAAAATTCTGTGGCCTTTGTGTCATTCAAAGTTTGCCAAAATGATTAATGGAATCCAGATTATTCTTTTATTCCTGAATATCTTCTTTTTTAATCTCTGAAGATGCAAAGGACACTTAATTGAGTCAGTTAAGAAAATCAAAATAGCTTTCAATATACAATTCACTGAAGTTATACAAAGCTTAAAATAGTGTAATTTGCCTCATCCTTTATAATATTCTAAATACACGTTTTTTTTTTCCCCACTCTATCAGCTTGAAAGTTCTTCTAAACATTCACATTTCAGAAGGCTTCTTAGGTATTCAAAGCACCACAGGTAAGTAAGTGTAATTGATAGTTATGAGCATATGTAATTTTATGGGGAATCTGTGTTAAACATTTAATTTTTACCATCCTCCAGGATGGTTTTTGAGACTTAAGCTAATATTTAAAATTTCTTAGGCTTTATAGTTTTTAAAATAATTCAAATATACAAAAAATTTTAAAAACACGTAACAGAATCTTATGTATCCTCTTTAAGGCTATTTAAGATGTTAATTTTACCATATTTTCTTCAAACTTTTAAGAAATAAGACACTGCAGAGTAAATATTACTGAAGCTCCATTACCTAATCCTTTCTCCTCCTTCTCTTCCCAGAGGTAACCACTATACCTTGAAGTCAAAATGCATAACTTTCTTTTTGTGTTTTTAACTTTTATTTGAGAGAAAGGGTGGAGGGAGAGAGGTGGAGGGGCAGAGAGAAAGGGAGAGAGAGAATCCCACTGTCAATGCAGAGCCCGACACAGGGCTCAATCCTACGAACTGTGAGATCATGACTAGAGCCGAAATCAAGAGTCAGACACTTAACTGAGCCACTCAGGAGCCACAATGCACATAACTTTCATGCATTCTGTTATAGTCAATGGTATCTAGCTTTAATTTACACCCTTGACTGCTAAAGTAAGCCTGAACACCTTCTCATACATGTCTCAGCCAACTGTTGTTGTTTTTTTTTTCTTTTGTGAATTGCCTGTTCATAACCTAGTTTACCTCATGCCTGGGACCTCTGCATTCATGTTCATTTATATACCACACTTAAAACCTGCTGTTTCTCTCAACATCAAGTATCTATAGTTTTTAGATATTACTTAGAATGGCCTTGTTTCACCTCAATTAAGAGGTTCACCTTACATTTTTTTTTAAATAAAAGAAAAACAGATGATTCATTTTAGAATCTTCTTTCTTGAAGGATATAAATGCTGTCTGGTTATACTGGTGTTTCACTGAGTTATTTAATGTATTTACTGATTTAAAGATTGAGGCTTTCATGTTAAGGTCATACGTGAAAGCTCACTAAATATCTAATACATAGGGGTGCCTGGGTGTCTCTGTTGATTAAGCATCTGCCTCTTGATTTTGGCTCAGATCATGATCTCATGGTTTGTGGGTTCAGGCCCCATGTTGAGCTCCATGTGGAGCTTGCTTGGGATTCTCTCTTTCTCTCTGTCCCCCTCTTCCTCTCACACACATGCAGTGCACTTTCTCTCAAATAAATAAACCTTTAAAAAAGACTAATAGAATACTGCCACTAATTTTATTATACCTTACTATGTATAGCATGGTACTATAGCATTTCTGTTTTGTCTTAATCTCTAAGAAAAAAATCCAATGTACTATGTATTACTATTCTCTTCATTTTAACAGATGAAACTGAAGCTTATGAGGAATAATTTACATAAGATCCCAAATATTTTTAGTGGTAGAGCTAAGAAGACTCACACCTAAATTTGTGTGATCCATTGTCTCTCAATCACTGCATTTTACTGCCATTTATTTTCTAAGTACATAAATGGCACCAAGAGAACAGTTAAGCAGACCAAGAGGATCTTTGAAATCAGATCTCTATAACAAGAAAGATCTAGAATTAGCATATCAGTTACCACTTTACAGAAAAGTGAATTTTCTAAATTACCAAGTTTTTCCTTAAGAACAGTGATCATTTTCTCAAAAATCCTATTGTCCAGTGAATTTACCTGTTTAATTATTTTAGGTAGTATAACTCAACCTAGTCACTATCTTAATCATTAAAAATTGTCTATTGGCACAGGCCTAGTCATCTAGGTTTTACTGACATAAATCTAAGAACCCAAAATTTAGTATATATGTCAAAGTAACAGCATAATAAACAGAAAATTAAAGCATGAAGAAAAGAACAGTAATTAACAGCAAAATTTACCAGGGCATGAATAATCTCATGTTTTACTGTGGACAGCATCCCAATAAACTCCTGAGGCTGGGTAGAGATCATATTTGGACACAGGTTAGCATATCCTGCTATTGGCCTGTTAAAATAGACATTGAATTTTTTATTATATTCTAGAAAAATAGGTATTTTATGATATTTACTAACTTAGACTTTTCTAAAAAACTGACCAAGTTCAGAAAAATCTTTGCTAAATATCAAATATCATTTTTTACCACAATATCTAACTTTCTATCTTATACTTTCAAGACATATACCTCTGTTTTCCTATGGTGTGGCTAATTAGCACCTGTCCTCATAAAAGTAAAGTCAATGTACACTTAAAGTGTGAATTTGTATGTCAATATATACAAAAAAATAAGAATGGACTGAAAAACTTAAATTCTAACATGTTGTACTTGCAAAATCCTTATTTGACTTCAGCATTTCACTATATTTATAGGCACAGGGGATGAGCAAGTAAGTGGAGAGGGAAGCTACATATACAATAGGACAATAAGCAAATCATTCAGGTTGCTCTACCTTCTAATGCCTATCTTGCTATTCCCTTTCTCTGCCTGAACACTACCTTCATTCACATTCAGATATTTTATCTTCACATCATCATCTTTGATATTCTACACTTTCTAGAACTTATATAGTTCTATCACTTTCTGAGACTACAATCTGAGATTCCAAGACCTGACCAGTACCCAATACAATTCAGTTAGTTACACCACGTACCTACCTGTCTTTCAAAAGCTGTGGCAAACAGACAATAGTAAGGAACCCTGAAGTCCCTTTTCCCACCAATACCTCAACCTTTTACCACAGAAATACCAAAAACTCACCAAAATGTAATCACCTTGTACAAAGTAACATTTGCCTTGTTTAAGTAAAAAAACATATGGTATACTTTGTTTACTTGGAAACAACAGACTTACACTCAGAAAAAGTATGAATATAATTCACTTACCAAAACATTGCCACAGTGACCTCTAAAATATAAAACGGATGTCACTGCCAGGCTTAAAACTCATCAGGGACTTCCTACAGTATTTAGAATAAAACATCCCTATCTGCCTCTCCAATTTTCCTTTAGTTCTCATCTTCAAAATTAGTGTCCACTGAAGTGACTTCTAACAGCAACAGGCACACATGGATTTTTCCTAACATATGTCCTCCTCAAGCCCTTTATCTGGCTGAAGCCTATCAATGTTCAGGTTACCTAAAGTTTCACTCTTTCAAAGAGGCCATCTTTGCCCTATTAATCTAAATTGTGTTTCCCCCTTTGTTCTCTTTTATGCTATAGTGCCCTTTTTTTTCCTATAAACCATTTATCCCATTTTGAAATCACATTTATTTGTAAGTATATTTAATATCAGTCTGCCTCTGTAATTTCTGTGTTCCACAAGGCAGGTACCTATGTCTATTTTGTTCACTTAGTCTACAAAGACCATATTAGGCATTCAAATATTCTTTGAATGAATTAATATGGCAGTTTTGAAGGGATGTTTCTCTTTCATCAAAAAGATTAAGAAAGAACAACTGCAGATACTGCTCTTTCTTCCAAAATCAACATTCTACTCAGAAGAAATCAATTATTTTCCCAAATATGAGAAGACAAAGATGAGTAGCTTTATATTCACCAATACAAAGAACATTTATTGTTTTAGTTACTCATTTATATCAAATGTGAACCAAAAGCTAAAGTAATTTAAACAAACATAACAGCAGTGCAAAGAAACTGAAATGTGAAACTAGGTTATGGGATTCTCATCTGTGTGAAGACTCCTGTGCTGGATTCTCTCACCAAAAGACAACTGGTTACTGTAGGTGTTTTCAACATTGTCAGATGCTGAAAGATGAATCACTCTAGACCCATCTCAATCTGGGATTGTATATTCCTGCCCCCATTTTCCCAAGGAAGTTATTCTCTTCCTAATACATAAGGTTCACTTTAATGTGTCTTTTAAGAAAAGTAGTAAAAGCTCATTGTAAAAAGTTATATATCCAAACAACATAGAAATGTATAAAGAAAAACATGAAAATTCTGGTTTACAACCTACTCCCCTGAAATTCCACTATTAGAGGTAACTGCTACTAACAATTTGCCCATGACTGAGGGGTTTCCCAGGATTTTCAGTGCTAAAACAGGGAAGTCTTGACCAAATTGGGATGGTTGTTAATTCTAATTATTTCTGACTTTTTCCTTAGCACATTCAAGTATGTGCTACATGTTTATATATATATACACATGTATATATATAAACATGAAACAAATATGTAATCATATGTACACTATTTTACAATGTTCTTTGAAACTCAACAGTATTTTGAAGAGATTATGTGTGTGTGTACACAATCCATATAGTTTAATTCAAATTAAGATAACCACGATTTTGCAGCACCACTATTATGAAGGCTTATTTCACAAAGACATCTAGGTTAAGAAAGTATCTCATTTTATGAAGTAACTTAGTTTGTCATTCACTGAGCACTTCAAAATACCATATTTCCTGAGACATACTGAGAAACCATTAATTATAAAATATCATAAATTTAATTATACTTTCTCAGGAAAAAAGAAACACTATTAAATACATTTATTTTTATAAACAATGTTATGTATATATATATATACACGTATATATATATACACAAATATTTGCAATATATATATGCAAAAACATATAGCACTTTACTCAATCATTTGACTAAGATTTCCCAACACTTAGAAGCTAATAATATTTTAGTAGATTTCAGATCATCAGTTACATAGCATCATGGTAATAGACTGTTCTTCATAATCTATGATGCTGATTTTTAACCTCTTTACCACCTTCAGGACTGACAGTATAATTTTAAAGCATAAACCACGGTTTCCTTTGTATTGCCTACCTGGTTCAACTAATAATTTCATTTTTTTTCCTTAAATGAATACACATCAGTAGAAGACAAACAGTTCTTTAAAGTCAGCTAGACTTGACAGATAGATGAACTTTCAAGACCTCAGCAATGGTCCTTATGTACATATGACATGGTCACATTAACTCTCCTAAATTTGAGAATGTTATAATCTATTCTCAAATGTGACAATTTCTACTGCCTTTGGTTTGTCTGGAATGTGACAGCCAATCTTCTACATATATAATAACATTTCATTTCAAGCCAGCTTAACTGGGAGAATTTTTAAAATATTTTGTAAATAAATAAGAGACCTCTAAATTTTTTACATGATAATTTATCTAAGTGAAGGACATGACACATAAAATGACAATTAGATAAACAGTTATTTTAGCACAGAAGTGCTAAAATTAAATTTCAAATTATTTCCTTAGAGGGTTATTTACTTCTCAAGAAAATTCTCTGGACAATACTTTTTCTTTAGGGTTGGTACTGACATTACTATATGAATAACAGTTCTATCACCTGACATTTTCTCCCCACCTCCCCATCCAAGCACTGTACAGTTTTTTACTATTAGAGGCAATCTGGAAAATGCAAACTTCTTGTACTCTTAACACTTATAATACACTCTGTTTTAAAAGTTTCCATAATTAGATCTTGGAAAATAAGTCTCAGCGGAAAGTTTACCTGTCCATTTTTGCTTCCTGCTGACAATAAGCTGCATAAGAGATGATGTTTTCACGGCTGCACCTCTCGGTGGCCAGAGCACCAACATACAGAACAAAGTCTGCATCCTGGACGCCCTCTTGGTCTTGCACACCCACTGATAAACAGGACCACTTACCCCCACGGCAGACCCTGCATCTCTGCACCCATGGTGAGCAAAAGAAAATCAGACCAGAGACAAAGTTAGCTGTAGGGACTTTTAATATATAGTAAATCCAGACTCTACATTCGTATGATTTAACTTTTATTTATTATCCCTCAACTTTTGCCAAACTCCATTCCTCTCTCAAAAATAAAAATCCATTCCTCCCTCTACTCAGTTCCTATCTCTAATTTTGAATTTACTTCACTAAAATTTCTACTTTATGTAAAATTATTATAATATACATATAATAAACATAATCTAATCTATAATCTTAATTAAAACAATTGTTATTTATAAAGAGCAGCCAACCAGGACACAAAAAAAGGCAGAAAAAGTTTTAAACTTTGAAACTAAGTGACAATTACAATGGACCTCCTTGTACTTTTTTTGGCAACTTCCTGTAAATCCACAGTTATTTCAAAATTAACTAATAAAAACATTTTATCTATGGAAATACATTTTCTATTATAAAGTAATTCATGTATTTAGTTAAAACCTCATATAATACAAACACAAAAAGTTAGTCATCTTTACCTTTTAAAGATGAGTTTAAAGGTAAAGTCACCTCAACATTACCCTTACTTCTAGTTTTCTAATCAATTCTTTACCCTTAAAATATCTGCTTTTTAGAGAACTTCTCTCAAAGTTCTAAACAATTATAATATCCAAATTTATGAATTAAAAAATCAGTAAATTGTGATTCTTTTAGATATAAGTGATATTTATAAAGAGAAGAAAAAAAGAAATCCCCATTTTATTACATTGTCTACTCTTGTTTCTCTAATACATGTATTTATAATTTTAAGTTTAGTTACTTTAACTTATTAAAGTTGATGTTACATAAAGTTGTTTTTAGGGGTGCCTGGATGGCTCAGTTGGTTAAGCATCTGACTTCAGCTCAGGTCATCAGTTTGAGCCCCGTATTGGGCTCTCTGCTGTTAAGACAGAACCTGCTTCAGATCCTGTCTCCCTCTCTCTGCTCCTTTCCCCCTTACTGTCAGGGAAATAAATAAACAAACAAACTTAAAAAAATTCTTTAAATACAAAAAGTTGTAATTTTTAAACATCCTTTTCCAGGATCACTCGTGTATTTAAAAAAAAAAAAAAAATTGGGCTCTCCTCCCACACCCCAAAGAAGACAAGTAACAGAATTTGGAAAAGCTAAGAGAATTAAAAACAAAAATGCTTTAGAAAAAAAGCAAAGAAATGTGTCTTAAAATGTCTACAAAATGTCTCTAAATTTCTTGGGAAAAAAGTTGAATATGTAATTAAGAAGCAGTTTTAATTTTCAAACATGTCCCTAAAACATTTTATACTCTCAAGAAAATGAGAAACGAAATGAAAGCTGAATAAGTTAGTTGTATTAGTGCCAATATATAGGGGGTCCAAAAGCCATATTGAGCTTCAAATAACTTAATGCAAAAATTACAAAGTAAACTTCATCTAAACATATGCTTAATTTGGTTACTAGGTAAATGTTCAGTAATATATTCATTTTCTGGAAGTAGCTAGAGAACACAGTTCAGTGGAGAAAAACAGCTATGGAAATAATCATATTTTCATACTAACTTAAAAAAAATTTTTTTTCAACGTTTGTTTTTGAGAGATGGAGAGACGGCCGTGAGTGGGGAAGGGGCATAGAGAGAGGGAGACACAGAATCCGAAGCAGGCTACCAGGCTTGAGCTGTCAGCAGAGAGCCTGAAAAGAGGCTCAAATTCACAAACCATGACATCATGACTTGAGCCAAAGTTGGATGCTTAACTGACTGAGCCACCCAGGTACTCTAATAATCATATTTTCAAATGTATATGTATAGTAAATTGGTTTTCTGGTATACACATTTAAAATTTTTATCTTTATCCTGATAAGTAATATATGTTTAATATGAAAAATCAGAGCATTACAAATATACATAATTCACCAAAGAAAAGCCCCAAACAATCCAACTCATAAAGAAAACCGTTAATATTTTAGTATGTCTCCAGATACTTTAGTATGTGTATATCTTTAGATTATTTCATAGTTTTTATTATATATGTACATACACTTTGTATTTAATGTTTTTATTTCATTTTTACTGAATTACATTGACAATAATTCTTAAATAAAATAGGCTAACTACACATACTGATTTACAACATTTATTTTCCATTTAAGAGTGTAAATATCTTTCCTAGTCTGTAGAGATCTACTTCATTCTTTAACAGCTGCACACTATTCCATTATAGGATTAAACCATAATTTAATATCAATATAGGCATATTTATAATTTTGCAAAGAATATATTTGAATATACATTGCACAGTTAATAAGTATTTTTATGGAATACATTTCTAAATTGGGTTGAAGCATACTATACATATTTTTTATTTTAAGAGATATTGTCAAATTGCCCTGCAAAATTACTAAGGTATATACCTCCCAGAAGACATTCTGGAAGACAGGACACCTGGGTGGCTCAGTCAGTTAAGCATCCAACTCTTAGTTTCAACTCAGGTCATAATCTCATGGTTCATGGGTTTGAACCCCCCATGGGGCTCTGCACTGACAGTGTGAAGCTTGCTTGAGATTCTTTCTCTCTCCTCTCTCTGCCCCTCCCCTGCTCCCATTCTGTCTCTCAAAATAAATCAACTTAAAAATATATATATTTTGCTGAGCGAAATAAGTCAGGCAGAGAAGGACAAATATCATATGTTTGCACGTATAGGAGGATTAGGAGGAACTTGACGGAGGAACAAGGGGGAGAAGAAGGGTGGAAATGGTGGGGGAAAGGGAGAGAAGCAAACCATGAGAGACTCTTGAATGCTGACAAAAACTGAGGACTGATGGATGTGGGGGGGAGGGGGGGATGGGCATGGAGGAGGGCACTTTGGGGATGAGCACTGAGTGTTATGTAGAAACTAATTTGACAATAAACTATTTGTAAAAAAATAAATAAATAAATAAAATAAAATAAAATACTATTTCATAGTCAAAAAATATATATATATATATATATATTTTGGAAGACAAAGCTGAAATGATTCAGCAGTCCCAGAGATAAGATAAATTAAAAAAAGAAAAAAAAAGTAAAGAAGATATTATCAAATTCATGAAAGAATAAAATCAGCTAACTAAGATTACTTTTGGTAATGAAGAATAAAGCTTTCAAACTTAAGTCTATAACAACTTCTTGGGGACACAGATTCAAAACCTCCATTTCTCAGTTCACTCTAAAAAGTAAAAACATTGCTAAGAGTAGGTTTAATTACCTGCAGGTGTTCCTCAGGCACTATAACTGGGCCACATTTTGTATGCTCTGCAAATTCCCCAGTACAGTATCTATGGGGATCATTTTCCTTCTGGTGTTGGTTCGTTGCACGTTGTCTTCAGTTCATTTGTACATCAAAATTTAATTACAAAAAAAAAAAAAAGGAAAAGAAAAACAAAAAGATAGTTCACATCAGTAAAAAATTGTAAAAAACCTAGTAGCTGCTATATTAGCTTATTAATAATGATTACTATTTTAGTTAGAAAAGTGGACTAAGAAAGAATTTTGGGCCTGGGTTTTCAGACCCCCAAATATTTAATAAGCCAATACTGTAGACACATGAGGGAGGAAGGAGATATGGCAAACAGGGAACAACTACACTGTAGGATAAGATCCAGTAGATCACTTCATAATAGAAAATCAGTAAAGGAGGAGTACCTGGCTGGCTTAGTTGGTGGAGCATGCAACTCGACCACAAGGTTTTGAGTTCAAGACCCATGTTGTGAGATTTCTTATAAATAAAATCTTGGGGCCCCTAGGTGACTCAGTTGGTTATGTGTTTGACTCTGGATTTCAGCTTATGTCATGATCTTACAGTTCGTGGGTTTGAGCCCTACATCAGGCTCCATGGTAACAGCACAGAGCCTGCTTGGGATTCTCTCTCTCCCTCTGTCTGGACTTCCCTTGCTCGTTCTCTCTCTCAAAATAAATAAAAGAAAAATGAGGGAAAGAATGATTACCTAACAGGTGCTTTATGATTCCCTTTAAATACCTCACAGTTTGGTCTCTAAGGACAAACATAATAAAATATGACTAGTTTTTATTTTATAAAATAAAAACTCTAGTATGAGTTTCATAATTGCCATACTGATAGAATGGGGAGGCCAGAGTACTACACAACTGAAGAAAATGACCTGTATTTAATGTGACATACCTGCTAAGTAAGATAGTGCCCGCGGGTCTACGAACCTGAAAAGTCTTCTCTAAATAAGAAATAGCTTGTGGAAAAAGTTTGTTCTAAATAAAAGTTGGGGGAAAAAAAAGTCAGAATTATAGTTAAAGGATAAATTATATTTAAAATAAGTAAGCATAGGATATTAATGACTGAGGGGGAAAAATGGGAAAACCTCACAATTCTGGAATATAGACAGTCAAATGTTGTGTACCAAAGGGCAGGGGAGAGAATGAGACTAGGAGCAAAGGAATTTCCTTATTTTCTAGTTGAGTTTGGAGAAAGAACACTAAGTGAAAAATTCCTTCCCTATCTCTACTTAAATAGAATATTAGGAAATATAAATCTCAATTATTAATCTAAATTTCTTCAAATCTGAGACTGATTAGGTGATTCTAACAGTAGGGAATTTGTTAGGAAAATCTTCTGTTTAGAAGATCAGTTTTAATCTCACCAATTTCTGTGGCGCATAAGGGATTGGCTTAATGTGTATGTGTGACTGTGTAACAGTTAAAAAAACTGTTAAGGTTAGCGCCTCTAGAAACAACTTTGACATATCATATAATCAGATAAATCCATCTTTAGGAGAATGAGTATTTACACCAAGAAAATGGTGTTCTCAATATATTTTTAAAAAAACCTTTTTTTTTCAATCTATGTTCAGCATGTTCTCCTCCCAAAACATAAGAGAACAAGTAAGAAAACAAGAAGACTGATTTATTATCAAATAAAAAATGAGAAGATTAATTCAGCATCAAATAAGGACAAAGTTTTGATGAGAGGCGCCTGGGTGGCTCAGTTGGTTAAGTACCTGATTTCAGCTCAGGTCATGATTTCACAGTTTGTGACTTTGAGCCCTGCGTTGGGCACTGCACTGACAACTAGGAGTCTGGAATCTGCTTCAGTTTCTGTGTCTCCCTCTCTCTCTCTCACCCCCTCCCCTGCTCATGCATTGTCTTTCTCTTTCAAAAATAAAACAAGAAAAAAATAAAAAAGTAAAAAGCTTTGATGACTGCATCACAAAGATGCCTTTGAAGAAAATGATGAATACGTTCATTACCAACACTTAATATTCATTAATTCACAAAACAGAAACATATTTTTGAAGTACAATTTACATACAATAAAATGCACCCATTTTAAGTATCAAATTCAAGCCATGAGTATTTATTACATACCTTTACAAGGTATCTCTTCTCAGGGAGCAACCTGAAAATGAAGACATAAAAAATTAAGAATTGCCATGCTAGGACACAGCACTATCTCATTTGTTTAGACTATATCTGGCAGGAGCCCCAAGGAATGCTTTGTGGAAGGATCTAGTATCAGTGCCCCCAATCTCAATTTACCTCAGTAAGAATTTGGGTTAACTTTGGACCAAAGCACAATACTAGGCATGATCATGTTATCTTATTCATTTGGGAAATTAAGGATAAGGAAAGACATCAATTACTCCTAATAGCTCTTCATAAACTCTTACAGAATCAAAACTTATCTGTTTTCTGGATCGCTCTTACGCTAGATGAAAAATTACACTCTCATTCCTCTGGCTAATAATTTTGTAAATGTTTTCAATGCATATAGCAGTTCTTCCTTTTATTTTTCAACCAAGTACTGATTAAGGAGGTGCCTTTTTTTAAAAAAAATTATTTTTTAATTCACATCCAAGGTAGTTAGCACATACTGCAACAATGATTTCAGGAGTAGATTCCTGGGGCGCCTGGGTGGCTTAGTCGGTTAAGCGTCCGACTTTCGCTTAGGTCATGATCTCGCGGTTCGTGGGTTCGGCCCCGCGTCGGGCTCTGTGCTGACTGCCAGCTCAGAGCCTGGAGCCTGTTTCAGTCTGTGACTCCCTCTCTCTCTGACCCTCCCCTGCTCACACTGTCTCTCTCTCTCTCTCTCCTAGAAATAAATAAAAACATTAAAAAAATTTTTTAAAAAAAAGGAGTAGATTCCTAATGCCCCTTACCCATTCAGCCCATCCCCCCTCCCTCAACCCCTCCAACAACCCTCTGTTTGTTCTCTATATGTAAGAGTCTCTTATGTTTTGTCCCCCTCCCTGCTTTTATATTATTTTTGCTTACCTTCCCTTATGTTTATCTGTTTTGTATCTTAAAGTCCTCATGAGTGAAGTCATATGATATTTGTCTTTCTCTAACTAATTTCACTTAGCATAATACCCTCTAGTTCCATCCATGTAGTTGCAAATGGCAAGATTTCATTCTTTTTTGATTGCCAAGTAGTACTCCATTGTGTGTATGCATGTATATATATATACACACACACCCCACATCTTCTTTATCCATTTACCTGTTGATGTACATTTGGGCTCTTTCCATACTTTAGCTATTGTCGATAGCACTGCTATAAACATTGGGTGCATGTGCCCCTTCCAAACAGCACACCTGTATCGCTTGGATAAATACCTAGTAGTACAATTGGTGAGTCATAGGGTAGTTCTATTTTTAATTTTTTGAGGAAAAGGAGGTGCCTTCTAGGTGTGTTACTGACCATATCCAAGTAGATCCACATTTGATCTGTTTAAATTATTCATAATGTATAGATTTTAATCATATCCCATGGCTTTTATCTTTTCAGACTAAAAAGTATTTTCAGCTTAATTCCATCTTGAAGATACATTAGCTCATAGCTGCATCTATGAATCTTCAGGTAACAGATGAAAATATCTTTACTAGTTTGATTCTTAATTTAAAAAATTTTTTTAATGTTTATTTATTTTTGAGAGAGAGAGTAGAGACAGAATGTGAACAGGGCAGGGTAAGAGAGAGAGACACACACAGAATCTGAAACAGGGTCCAGGTTCCAAGTTATCAGCACAGAGCCCAATGCAGGGCTCGAACCCATGAACTGTGAGATTGAGATCTGAGCCGAAGTCAGATGGTTAATTGACTGAGCCACCCAGGTGCCCCTGATTCTTAATTTTAAAAAGACAAAATAATGGCATACTTACTCATCAATACTTTTATCATAGACAGTCTTGATTCTTAAATGTTCATCAACATCTCTTTTTACAACATGATTTGCCTTAAGATGAACCTTATTTATGACCTGAAAAAAGAACATATTTGAAAACATTTTTAAAGGGACTGTATAGATTAGCCAATTGAGATTTTCACTTAAAATTAATGAACTAAATTTCGAGTGTAATACCTAGAAAAAAAATAAAAGAACTAAATAAACGAAGAGATATTTCATGTTCATGGATAGGAAGAATCAATAATGTCAGGATCTCAGTTCTTCCCAACTTGATCTATGGATTCAGTGCAATCCAAATCAGAATCTGAGCAAATTATATTGTGGAAATCAACAATCTGATTCTAAAGTTTATGTGGAGAGGCATATAACCCAGAATGACCAACACAATGTTGAAGGAAAAGAACAAAGCTGGAAAACTGATACTATCGGACTTAAAGATTTACTATAAAGCTGCAGTAATCAAGATGTGTGGTACTGACAAAAGGGAAGGCAAATATTTACTGTATTATTTAATATAGCCAAGATATGGCACACTGGCACAGGAGCAGGTCGATACTGGTTGGTGGGCCCCAGAGGGAACATGGCGTTCTTGGCAGTGTGCTTGGTGTTACTCCTCTTGGCCAGGGACTTAGCAGCCTCTATGGACTCTTTTGACTCTCTTGAATTCTGGCCAACCTTCAGAATTCAGAATACGAAACTGCAATCAGTATAAATTACCAAGATGTCTCAGTGACTTTAGCCCTGTGTATAGAAGCAACATGTCCACTTATCCCAAAGAGTGTAGTCTGTGCATGAATATCAGGGAAGATGGTCATGATATTGAAATAATCCAGATGGATCAATATCCATGATATTGAAATAATCCAGGTGAAATAATCTTGTTGATGGAGCAGTTTATGGAAGAGAACTTAGAGAAACCACCTTCAAGAGTATGCTAGTAGAATTCCATTTTCCCTTTTTCTCTTTCCTATGTTCCTTTGCATGGGATTTATTAGCCCATATTTTCTGAGAAGAGACATGGAAGACAGCTACATGCAGTGTCTAATAATTAAAGCAAACACACAAAAAAAACCTTGTTTCTTACCTTTGTTCCTTGAGTTAAGCTTATTGCTCAGGTGACTTGTGCATTGTTTTATTTAACTGGAATAAAATCAGCATTGTGTTCAAGTAAAAAAAAAAAAAAATACCCATGATATGGAAGCAGCCCAAGTGTCCACCAACAGATGAATGGATAAATAAGATGTGGTATTACACAGTGGAATATTATTCAGTCATAAAAAAAGAATGAAATCTTGCCATGCCATTCATGACAACATCGAGAGACCTAGAGGGTATTATGCTAAGTAAATTAGACAAAGACAACATGATTTTACTTATATGTGGAGTCTAAAAAAAACCAAGACAAAACAAAAAACCAAACAAATAAAAAACAAAAGCAAACTCATAAATACAGAGAATTGGTAGTTGCCAGAGAGGGAGATGGGCAAAACAGGTGAAGGGGATAAAGAAATACAAAGTTCCAGCTATAAAATATACAAGTCACAGGAATAAAAAGCACAGCACAGGAAATAGTCAATAATATCATAGTAACATTGTATTGTGACAGATAGTAACAACACTTATTGTGGTGAGCATTTTGTAATGTATATAATTGTCAAGTCACTATGTTGTATACCTAAAACTAATATTATACACCAACTGTCTTTGAATTTAAAAAATTTTTAAAGGAAAAAAATAAATCAATAGATCAACGGAACAGAAAAGAAAGCCCACAAACAGGCCTACATAAGTAAAGCCAATTGATCTTTGACAAAGGAGCAAAGGTAATACAATGGAGCAAAGACAGTCTTTTCAACAAATCGTACTGAACAACTAGACATCCACATTAAAAAAAAAAAAAAAAAAAAGAATCTGGGGGATCTGGATGGCCCAGTTGTTAAGCGTCCAACTCTTGATTTCACTTTGGGTCATGATCTCCTGATTGGTGAGATCCAGCCCTGCATCAGGCTACATGCTGATGGCACAGAGCATATTTGGGATTCTCACTCTCCCTCTGTCTCTGCTCTTCCTCTGCATATGCAATGCACTTTCTCTCTCAAAAATAAAAATTAAGAAAAAGAAGAAGAAGAAGAATCTAGAGACAGACCTTATATCTTTCACAAAAATTAATTCAAAATGATTTAGACACCCAGATGTAAAATGGAAAACTATAGGGGTGCCTGGCTGGTTCAGTTGGTGGAGCATATGACTCTTGATCACAGTGTTTTAAGTTCAAGTCCTACGTTGGGTACAGATATTTCTTAAAAATAAAATCTTTATTAAAAAATAAAATGCAGGGGTGCCTGGGTGGCTCAGTCAGTTGAGCATCCGACTTCGGCTCAGGTCATAATCTCACAATCCATGAGTTTGAGCCCTGCGTCAGGCTCTGTGCTGACAGCTCAGAGCCTGGAGCCTGCTTCAGATTCTGTATCTCCCTGTCTCTCTGACCCTCCCCTGCTCACGCTCTGTCTCTGTCTCTCTCAAAAGTAAATAAACATTTTAAAAAAAATTAAAATACAAAAGTATAAAACTGTTAGAAGATATCATAAGAGAAAACACAGACAACCTTGGGTTTGGCAATGGCTTTTTAGATATAACACTAAAGGAATGATCCAAGAAAGAAAATAACTGATATATTCAACTTTATTAAAATTAAAATCTTATACTCTATGAAAGATAACATAGGAATAAGCAGACAAGCCACGGACTGGGAGAAAATATTTGCAAGACACATCTGATAAATGACTATTACACAAAATATACAAAGAAGTCTTAAAATTCAACATTAAGAAAATGTACAGCTCAATTAAAAAATGGGCAAAAGAGGTGTGTCTGGCCAGCTCTAAGTCAGTAGAGCAGAGCACATGACTCTTGACCTCAGGGTCATGAGTTTGAGCCCCACACTGGGCATAGAGATTACTAATACACAGAAGATCTGAACAGACATTTCAGAAAAGATATACAGATGGCAAACATGCATATGAAAAGATGCTCCATATTATGTCATCAGGGAAATGCAAATTAAAACAACAATGAAACACTACTGCACATCTATTAGAATGACCACAGAGCAACCTCAAATGCTGACAAGGATGTGGAGCAACAGGAACTCTCTCATTCATTATTGGTGGGAATGCAAAATGGTACAGCCAATTTGGAAGACAGTTTGGCTGTTTCTTATAAAATGAAACACTCTTACTTGTACTTCATTACAACTGAACAACTGAGCTCTTTGGTATTTATTCAAATGAGATAAAAGCTATGTACAAAGATGTCTGTACACAGAAAACCTACACACAGATTTTTAAAAATATTTATTTTTGGGAGGGCACAAGTGGGGAAAGGGCAGAGAGAGGGGAACAGAGGATCTGAAACAGGCTCTGCACTGACAGGCTGACAGCAGCCAGCCTGATGTGGGGCTCGAGCTCACAAACCACAAGATCATGACCTGAGCCGAAGTTAGATGTTCCACCAACTGAGACACTCAGGTGCCCCTTGTACACAAATTTTTATAGCAGCTTTATTCATAACTTCTACCACTTAGAAGTAGCCAAAATGGGGGCACCTGGGTGGCTCAGTCGGTTGAGCGCCGACTTCGGCTCAGGTCATGATCTCACGGTTCATGGGTTTGAGCCCTGCATCGGGCTCTGTGCTGACAGCCAGCTCAGAGACTGGAGTCTGCTTTGGATTCTGTCTCTCCCTCTCTCTCTGACCCTCCCCTGCTCATGCTGTCTCTCTCTCTCTCTTTCAGAAAAAAAAAAAAAAAAAATTAAAAAAAAAAAGAAGTCCCTCAGTATGCTAACAGATAAACTGGTACATCCAAATGATGGAATATTATCTAGAGCTAAAAAGATGAAACATTAAGCTATGAAAAGACACGGAGAAACCTTAAATACATCATACTAAGTGAAAGAAGCCAATCTGAAAAAGTGACATACTATACGATTCCAACTATATGACATTCTGAAAAGGGGAAAACTATGGACACAGTAAAAGGATCAGCATTTGCCAAGGGTAGGGGTGGGAAGAGAGATGAATAGATAAAGCACAGAAGATTTTTAGTACAGTATAAATACCCTGTATAATACTATAATAATGGGTACATTCTTTATACATTTGTCCAAATCCATGGAATGTACCCCATCAAGAGTGAATCATAATGTGAACTATAAATTCTCAGTGGATTATAATGTGCCAATATAGGTTCATCAATTGTAACAAAAGTACCACTCTAGTTAGGGATGTTGGTAATGGAGGAGTCTATGCATGTGAGGAGGAACAGGTATTTGGGAAATCTCTGTACCTTCTTAGCAGTTCTGCAATAAAACGAAATTTGCTATAAAAAGTAGTATTTAATGAAAAAAAAAGAAAAAAAGGGAAACTAGAGACAACGGAATAAAGAGTTAAGTGCTAAAGAAAGTCCATATCTAGTGAGACTACCCTTCTAAAATAAAGAAGATATATATATATTTCAGATAAATAAAAATTAGGAGAATTTACTACCAGCACTACATTCATTTCCTGTACTACAGAAAATTCTGAAGGAAGTTCTTCATGGTCATGGAAATGACACTAGACAGTATCTTGGATCTGGTATTAGTTCAGGCTGTTATAACAGAATACCATAAACCGGGTGATGGTATAAATATCAGAAATATATTTCTCAGTTTTGGAGACTAGTAAGTCCAAGACCAAAGTGTATAAAGATTGGGTATCTGGTGAGGGCCCCCTTCTTGTTTCATAAGGCCATATTTTTTCTGTGTCCTATGGCACAAGGGGCAAAGGAGCTCTCTGGGGTCTCTTTCACAATAGTATTAATTCCATTCATTATGACTCTGCTCCCATGATCTAATCACCTACCAAAGATCCCACTTCCAAATAATCACTTTAGAAGTTAGGATTTCAATGTATAAATTTTGGAGGGGACATAAACATTGCCTCTTTTGCTGTTCTGGGAACCCGAATAGTAATCAGTTACCTACACTGATATAAAATTTCCCTAAATGATAAGGCAGGCTCATCATGCCTGAAGT